CCCCGAGAGGCGCCGAGGAAATCCCCAGAGGCTTCCGAGCGCCCCCCAAGAGGCCCCAAGAGGCTCCCAAAGAGGCTCCCAAGACCCCTTCTAAGCCTCCAGGAAGCCCAAACAGGCTCCCAGGAAGCTCGAAGAGGCCCCCACGAAGCCCCCGAAAGGCTCCCCAAAGGCCTCAAAACTGCTCCCTAGAGGCTCCCGGGAGCCCTCCGAAGAGACCCCAAGAAGCATCCATGGGGACTCTGACCCACAACCCAGGTACGTCTCGAAACTCTGCTGGATCTCTCTTGAGCCATCTTGGCGCCCTCTGGGGCAGTCCATCGGCTCTCTTCGGCAGGGTGCGGGCCACATCTCCAAAGATCTCCTCGAGGACAATCCTGCCTGCCTCACCTTTCCCAATGGGTACGAGCACACCACCATGCAGCTACTGTGATGCGCAATGGACCGGCGGAGTGCGCGAAACGAGTGAATACTCCGATGTGAACGGGCACGTGGACACTCCCGTTCTGGGTCAGTGTCCCATCCGCAGTCCGAGGCGGGTGATGTGGGAAGTGGGGAGGTGACCACGAGGGAGGCGAGGAGGTGAAGCAGGCGAGGGCAAGAAAGGTCGTGGCTGAAATCATGACGGGCTGGATGTTCACACCCAAAAGTGCATGCCCGAGGAGCAGCCATTGCTGGGATGCGGGCCGAGGTGGTCCGCGCGCCAGCCAAGGTCGTGAGGTGGGCCCATGCCGAAGAGGGCGGGGTTCTCACGAGAATCCCACGGAGCACGGCCCACCGCTTGTTGATCTCATCTGCAGGGAGCTGGGGGACGTGGGGGAGCCAAGAATCCGCAGACCCTGTCGGCATGTGTGGGGTGCCTGTCCGGTTCCGGGAGAGAAAGAGAGAGAAAGAGAGAAAGAGAGAAAGAGAGAGAAAGAGGAGGACCCTGATCTCTCCCGTTGGGGGGGAAAGAGAGAGAGAGAGAGAGAGAGCACCCTTCTTTGTTCGGGGAATGGGTTCGTCGCTTCAGGGAATTCCATCCACGTCCCCATGACGTCAAAGGGAAGCTCCTTCCCTTTGTCCCTTCCCCGGCGGGTGGGTGGGTCCTGGGGGGGGGGTCAAATTCGCATCCCCCGCTTGCGGCTTTTACAGAAGTGGCCCTCTGTAGATGCGCTGGAGGAGGGGGACGTCGCCACGACGGATCCCCATGCGCGCCCCTAGACGGCTCAAGCTCCACAAGACAGCCCAAGAACGCCTAAGGACGGCCAAAAGGGGCTCCCAGACGGCCAAAGAACGCCGACCAGATACGTTTCCCCCTCGAGCGCCCCCGAATCCACGGAAAGCTGTTTTCAACAGACCCCAGAATGCCACAACGCCTCCTCCTCCTCCTCCTCCTCCTCCTCCTCCTCCTCATCTCCCTCCTCTTCCTCCTCCTCCTACTCCTTTTCCTCCTCCTTTTCCTTTTCCTCCTCCTCCTCCTCTCCCTCCTCGACCTCCTTCTCCTCCTCCTCCTCCTCCTCCTCCTCCTCCTCCTCTTCCTCCTCCTCCTCCTCCTCGTCCTAGCGAACACGGTCGGCGGCACCGGCCGTAAGGCCTTCGCAATAAATCTGGCGACGAAGGAGGGAGGGTATGAGATCAGGAAACAAGGAGAGCCGAAGCGACCGCGCGAACTCTCGCTGTGGTCGGGGGCAACGGCCGTCAACCTCGGCAGCAGGGAACTCCACATTGGCTGCCGTCATGCTCTCTTGCCAGGCGTGCTGGGGGATACCCATATGGGTGTCAGGGGAACGAGAGGCATCTACAATGCTAACCCTGTTCCTCCACCACGCCGGGGAGAGTATGCCTTGAACGAAATCCTCAAGAGGCCCATGCAACCAATCATGTTCTTGTAGCTGCGTGAGTGCGGCCCTCCACCCATCCACCGAGGAGGAGGAGGAGGAGGAGGAGGAGGAGGAGGAGGAGGAGGAGGAGGAGGAGGAGGAGGAGGAGGACGACGACGACGACGACGACCCGACCGGTGCCTCCTCGACGCGGCCGCCCTCCGCAGCAAGGGCCCCGCGCACGAGGCCGCGCACGTCCGCGCCCTCCGCGACGAGCTCGCGCCCGCCCGCCGCCGGCAGCCGCAGCGCCACGGCGCGGTCCAGGTGGCCCCGCGCCTGGGTGCCCAGGCGGCCGGCAGCCCGCGAGGCGCGCGGCGGCGGCGGCCGAGCGATCGAGCGAGCGAGCGAGCGAGCCGGCAGCCGCGAGGCCCACGAGGCCCAGGCCTCCCACGTGGGGCGCGAAGTGCTGTAGGAGCTCGACCACGAGAGGCCTTCCACAAGAAGCCCAGCCCTGCGACCCCAGGACGTCCCTTAATTTGTTGGTGTGGGAGCGTCGCGCTCTCCATAGCGGAACCATCGAAGCCCAGGGAACCCAGCGATGAATTTCCACTGCCCTTTTCGGGCCCTCAAGGCCCCCTTCTGGGCCCTGAAAGGGCCCCTTGAGGGGCCCTGAAGTGCTCCTTTTCTGCAGCCCTCGCTGCCCACCCCTCATTTATCGCCCACCCGATGCGCGTCCTCCGACGACGACCTGATGTTTGCAGCACGGGCATTCTTCCTCGACTTCGGCCTCTGGGGCCCGCTGCTGGGCCCCAGGACCATCAGAACCGGCTCCGGGACGCAGAACTGCTCCCGGGGAAGGGGTCGGGACCTCCACCGAGATCCGAGGTTGCGAAACGATTCCAGCATCGCGGAAAAGCGCGACCAGAGCCCCAAGCCCCATAGTTCTGCGGCATCTTTCGAGCCGCATTGATCCGTGAGGGTCCTGGGCCCCGAGACTGGGCGAAAATGCCCGGTGTCAAAAAAAGAACACTGCCAGAATCTCAAACCGCATCTGCACGTAGATTCTGGCGAATTTATTTTCATGGCGTCCCCCACCTCCGCCGCTTTGTCAAACAGCGCCTGGCCGAAAAGGCGTGCACATGAGTCCCGACTTGCGCGAAGTGCAGGGCTTCTTTCGGGCCTCGCAACGACCCCCCTCCCCCTCCGTGCCGGTAAACTTGCCAGAGCCTAAAGACAAACTGACACTCCGGGTCTGGGGCCTCGCATTGAACAAATCGGTGGCGACACCCGAACCCTGCCCCCACCAACCATTGATCCGCCTGAATCGCCACCTGTTCGACGAATTCCGAACCCTGCCCCCGCCGCCAATCGAGTTGCCTGACTCGTGGATCGGCGAGGGCGGGGCTCGGACCTCGACGCCGAGCAGATCACGTCGCCGGACGTCTGCGAGCGAGGCGCGGCGGAGCGCGAGGCGCGCGCGAGGCGAGGCGAGGCGCCTGCACGTGCCCCAGCAGCCGCGAGGCCCGCGCGCTCAGCGCGCCGATCGGTGACCCTCAGGAGGTGCGCTGGCCCCAAAGCGAGGCCGCCCGCTCGCGCCGCTCTCACTCGGCGGCCGGGCCCCTCCCGCCGCCTCCTCCGCGGCCGCCCTCTTCCTCTCCGCTGGCTGCCAACGCCCGTTCGCGGCACGCCCTGCCGTGAGCGACGCCCGCGCCAGCGCCCGCTGGCGCCGCGCGGACCACAGCGTTGGCACTGGCGTGCGCTGGTCCGCCCAGGCTCCTCAACACACGACGTGGGCGGTGCAGTGAGGGCCGACGCAGGCTGCTCGGGGAGGCGGAAGACTCGGGTTGGGGGGACTCGGGTAGGCCTGGCAAGGCCGCCATGAACACGACGAGGCCCAATCTGAGATTTGACGCGATCCACGAACACTGGACAGTCAAAATCTGGCACGCGCTCGTCAAAAAGCGCTGGCCAGCCCGAGTTCCGGCGTACACGAGTCTTGCGTTTCCCCGAGCTCGGTGCTATCGGCGGCGCTGAACGGGGTAACGCACACACACATTGGGCCAACACACCTCTTGAGGACCATCGAGCCGAGCAGCCCGGGGGGCAGGTCCCCCGGCACGGCGGCGGCGTGCTGCAGCACCGCCGGCAGATACCCGCCGAAAGGCTCAGTGGCGGCGCCCGCGCCGTGCGCGTCGGGCAGCACCGGCAGCCTCGCGTGCCCCATGCCCTCCACGCGCGTCGCCTCCTCCCGGACTCGAGCATCTGCCGTCACGAACTAGTCTAGGCAGGCGGCCCAAGCGTCGGGCCGGCAGATCGAGCCGCACCGACGCGACCGTCGAATCGGCAAGCACCGGCCGAAAATCGGCCGCGCCATCGAAGCGGCGAGCATCGGCAAAGCCGAACCGGATCGAATCGGGAACTGGCAGACCTAGACTGCGGCCATCGCGAAGGCACAAGGCGGGACGATGGGGGCCTCTCTGGCCACGGCGGGCCACGGACAGGGTCCACGACACCACTCTGAGGACCGGTGGGTCACCCACCTTCGCGTAGCGCGCCCCGCGGTGCGCAGTGCTCTGCGCGCCCTCGCGCCGCCCCCAGGAGAAGATCAGAACTGCCCGCCGCGGGGGGCCGCGGAGCGCCATGGCCTCCTTCGCGCCCCCGCCCATTGACCCAGGGAGGCGGAGGCGGCCGGTGCTCTCTGCAGAAGCCGGGCATCCAGGGGCCCGTTTTTCGGCGCGCACGGTGTTGAAAAGACGGCCGTCGTGTTGGGGAGGGGCTGGGAGAATGCAGGGTATGAGGAACAACATCCGGACGCCGCGGACGTTATCTTTGGCCGCCTGCGCCCAGCGAAGGGGAAACATGCTTTCACCGCTTGAGCAGGGACCGATCGTCCCGGCATCCCTATAGTCCTACCACGAAGTGTTCTTAGAACCCAAAGATGTTCTAAAAATAAAAGCAAGGTTCTTAGAACATACGCCCGACGTGATAAAACAAGACAGTCCCAGCCAGAAATGTTCTAAGAACATCTCGTGGGAACCACAAGAGGTTCTTAGCACATTGTGTGGCAGGGCTGTAGGCGTGCCAAGACGCTTCGCCGCTGCTTGAACCGCAGCGCATGGGCCGCCAACCGTGCTGACCGCCAACCGTGGTAGCCTCCAGGCGGCCGCCACGGGAGGAGGCCAACGAGGGCGGGGAGGGGGGGAGGCCACGGAGGGAGGAGACCACGGGAAAGGGAGAAGGGCGCAGGCCACGGGGAGGGGGGGGGAGGGCTATTGAGGGGGGGGGGGTCCACGGAGGGGGAGTGGCCACGAGGCGAGGGAGGGTAACGGGTCCTGAGGGAACCGGGCCCCAAGTCCACCCGGAGAGGGGCCTCCGGGGCCAGGCCCGGCGAGCTTTCCGCACTCCCGGGCGCGGCCACGGGGGGCCCCCCCTCTCCTCCTCCTTCTTCTTCTCCTCCTCCTCCTTCCTTCCTCCCTCCCTTCCTCCTTCCCTCCCTCCCTCCCTCTCTCACTCCTTCCCTCCCTCCCTCCCTCCCTCCCTCCCTTCCTCTTCCCTCTGCCCCTCCCTCCTCGCCCTCCTCCCTCCTCGTCCTCCTAGTCCTCCTCGTCCTGCTCGTCGTCCTCCTCCTCCTCCTCCCTCTCCTCCCTCCCTCCCTCCCTTCCTTCCTCTATATCTCCCTCCCTCCTCTCCTCCTCTCCTCCCTCCCTCGCTCCTTCCCTCCTCCTCTCCCTCCCTCTCCTCCTCCCTCCTCCTCCTCCTCCTCCTTCCTCCTCCTTCCTGCCTCCTCCTCCTCCTCCTCCTCCTCCTCCTCCTCCTCCTCCCTCCTCCTTCCTGCCTCCTCCCTCCCACTCTCGCCCGCTCCCCTTGACGGCGCGTCGCCAGCTCCTCCAGCAAGACCTCGTCCAGGGCGCCCGCGCCAGCGGGTGGCCGGTCCCCGGCCAGCTCGGGCGCCTGGCCGAACGCCACGTGGCGGCACATCAGGCTCAGCACGGACGCCCACGTCATGCCCTGCCCACGAGCGGCAGACATGTCCGTAATCGCGCCCTCGCGGTCTGGACTCTGGGGCGCGCTCCCGCGGGCGCGCGGCTGCGTTCCGCGCGGGGCACCCGCGAGGAGGCGCCCCGTAGCCGCGGGGTCGCGGCCCAGGGGCCTGGCCCGCGAGGCCGCGGGCACGGACCTGTTTTTCACGCCCACGGCCTGCTGCTCCAGCCCGAGGGTCAGGTGAAGGGAGGGGTCGCCGCCACAGGGCTCCGCGCGATGGGGCAGCCGGCTGGGCAGGTAGAGTACCTGCGGCAAGGGGCAGGGCACGAGGGGGGGAAGGGCGGGAGCGAGGAGCGTTAGGTCGGCCGTGCCCCCCTAAAGGTGGATCTTGGAAGAAAACTGGAAAATAACCAACAACACCTCAAAAATGGTCAAGATTACATAGAAAATTCGTCCCCAGACTATTTTTGGACTATTCTTGAATTTGCCTCCTGTAGAGGGACACGCCCGAGTGGGAAGGGGGGTGGGGCAAGGAAGAGGGAGGGTGGCAAGGAGGATGCCCATAATTAAGCAATTCTCATAGTGCTCGCTGGTTTCCGGAGGCTTCGGGACTTTTTGACGGTCTCTCTTCATGGCTTCGGAACCTCCTGGAAGCCTGCTGAAGGCTTTCGGCCGCCTACGGGAGGGCTGCTGAAGGCTTTCGGCCGCCTACGGGAGGGGATGAGGGAGGGAGGGAGGGCGGAGAGGGAATGAAGAGAGGGAGGGGACCAAGCTAGGCGCGCTCGCGCAATGTCTGACATCCTGTGCCTCCCATCCGCCCCTTCCCGCCGCGCTGATTTTTTGTTATCCGCCGCCGGGTGCCGCAGCTGACCTGTAGCCTCCCAAAGGGGGGGGGGGGCGAGGCGGGGGAGGACGAGCAGCCGAGGCCCGAGCAGGGAAGGGGGAAGGCACACTCTAAAACAGCGCTAGGATCGGGATAAATCGCTCCAGAGCGTTCCGGAGCGCCCAATACATCCTCCAAGCCCGCCGATTCTCAGAGATTTCGAGTTGTCCCGATCCGATTTTGTCCCGATCTTCGCGTCGTTTTACACTCGCCCGCCCGCTCCCCCGAGGGAGTGAAGACGCGAGCCCCCCGGGCCGGCACGCAGTCCTCGCGCTGCCGCAGGGCGCGCCGAAGAGGGCACGAAGGGGGGCACCTCGGGCCACGGCGAGCCTCGGCCACGGGTGAGGTTCCCCGACTTCGACCCGCGGAACGGTTCGAAGCCGCAGCCCCTCCCGAGCAGAAAGCAGTGCCCACAGTAGGAGCTCGGACACAGGAGACCTTCCACGAGAAACCCAACCCTGGCGAGGACACGCGAGAGGACACGAGACCCTTGCGAGGGCCACAATGCCACAGGACTGCAGACGGCACGGGTCGCGAACACACAGGACACAAGGGTACCCTTGACTCGGCAGGGTCGACCTGCAGCGGGGGCCCGACCACAAGAGACCTTCCGCAAGAAACCCAGCCCTGAACCCCCAGGAAGTCCATTGAAATTTTCGGTGTGGGAACGTCGCGCTCTCCGTCGCAGAACCATCGAAGCCCAAAGAACCCAGGGCACCCTGGAGGCAAGCGGGGCGTTTCTTGGCACGGGCTTCCGCTGTGTTTCAGCGCCCTGGCCGTGCCCGGAGGTCTGGGCCCCGGGCCCCAGCTGCCGGACGCCGCCGGCGAGGGCAAGAGCCGCGCCCTCGGTATGGCCCTCGGAGGGAGGCCGTCGGCGCCAAGGCCGTCCTGCGGTGCCGGCGATGGCCATCCGCGGCAGCAGTGGCTAGCAAGACCGCGGCAGCCATCGTGCCACCAGAAGGGCGCGAAGTCGGGGACGAGAGGGGTGTTCGGGCTACGGGGCGGCGGGCCTCGGCCACGAACATGTTCCACGACATGAATGCTGAGGCACTGCCCGAACGCCGTGCATCTCCTCCTGGGCCCAGAGCGGTCGTTGTTTCAACGTGGTTGTAGGACCCCCGTCGCGTCATGAAACAGTCGCGACGGAATGCTTGTTTTGTCTTCCCCCTGACGTCATGTGGAGCTGGGTTTCTCTCTTTGAATCCGCAGCGCCGCGCTCCACCTTCCACACCTTCGTCGTCGTCGTCCTCCTCCTCCTCCTCCTCCTTCTACTCCCATCCTCGCCTCTGCTGTCCGCACCCTCCTCTCCGTCTTGCCTCTGCCTTCCGCATGTAACTTTCGGTATACCCGTCACACGTTTCGTGGCCCACGGGGAGCTCCACCGAAGGCTTTAGTGGGCATGTCCGCATGCTGGTCGGGTCCATTTCGGCACGCCACTCACGCGCTTCGTGGCACCATAGGGAGCTCCATCGAAGGCCCCGGTGGCGATGCCCGTCCGCGGCACGGCTCCACCTTGGCAACCCCCTTACACGTTTCGTGGCCCCATTGGAGCTGAACTTACGGCCCCAGTCCCATTGGGAGCTCAACCTACGGCCCAGTGGGCTTCGCATGTCCGCATACTGGGCGGTTCCGTGTCGGTGTCCGCATGATGGGCAGTTCCGTTTCGGCACATCTCTCACGTGTTTCGCGGCCCCCCATAAGGAGCTCCACCGACGGCCCCAGCCGCTATGTCCGCATGCTGGGCGGGTCGATTTAGGCACACCCCTCGCGCGTATCGTGGCACCATACGGAGCTCCACCGGACTTCCCAGTTTGCATGTCCGTATGTTGGGCGGGCCCGTTTAGGCACACCTCTGACGCGTTGCATGGCCCCGTATACGGAGCTCTACCGAAGGCCCCAGTAGGCATCACAGCCCTGACGCGTTTCGTAGCCCCACAGGGAGCTCCACCGAACGTCCCAATGGTTATGTCCGCATGTTGCTCGGGTCAATTTAGGCTCATCTCTGCCGCGCCTCGTGGTCCCATAGGGAGCTCTCTGTTGGGCGGATCCATGTAGGCACGCCTCTGACGCGTCTCGTCGTCCTAGGGAACGCTCCACCGAAGGCCCCTGTGGGCATGCCCGAATGTTGGGCGGGTCCGTTTAGGCACAGACCCGACGCGTTTCGTGGTCCCATGGGGAGCTCCACCGAAGGCCCCAGTGGGCGTCCGCCCGTTTCGGCACACCTCTCACACGTGTCGTGGCCTCATCCACGTCCTGGCCCTTTTGCTCGTCCCCTTCTTCTCCTCTGCCTCGCGGTACTCACGCCTGCGCAGTGTTAGCTCCTGCGCTGGGGGCCCTCAAACGCCTGGAGCCATCAAACAGGGACAACAAGGAACAACAGCGGCATACACACCTTTTCTCGGAGGTCCGCGCGGCGCTCTTGGATCGGCGCTGGACCCCCCCTCCCTGGCGCGCGGAGCGCACCACGGGCGGCGCCGGAGGCGCCGCCAGGGAGGCCCCAACACCCATCCAGGAGATCCACGTGGTCCTCCGAGACGTGATGTGCATGCCGTTGCTTCGGTGGCTCGGGGCCGCCGGCCCCCGGGGGGAAGGGGCTCCGGACCTCCGGGGGATCGGCGCCGTGCGTGGGGGGTCCCGGGCAGGCCGGCGGGCGGCGGGGGCCCGCAGCGAGCGGGCAGAGCGCGCGGCGGGCGCCGTCGGGGAGGGCTCGGCCCGGGCCCTCGGCACGGGCCCCGGAGGGCAGCTGCCAGCAGCGAGGCCGCCTCCAGCAGTGCTGGCGGCGGCGCGCGGAAGCTTGGCCGTCTCGTCGCGGATCGCCTCTTGATGGCCCCGGGGGCACGAGGATGGCCCCTGGAAGCCGACGCTGCGACGATCTCAGGCCGTCCTGGCTTCTGCACGGCGTGGGGGGTCTGGGCCCTGTGTGCCTTCTGTCGGGGGCTGCTGGACGCGTCCCTGGTCCAGAGTGTCTCTCGGACTTCCATGGGAGGCCCCCACGGCCTCCAGAGCACCCCTCGCGAGGCCCGGAGGGCCCCAGGGCCTCAAGACTGGCGCGAACAGCTGGGCGACCCTGCGCCTCTGCCAGGGGCGGCGCCGAGGGTGCCTCGCGCCAGCTCGGAGCCCGCGGGGCGCCCTGGGCCCCGTGGGGCGCTCTGGGGGCCGCGGGCACTCCACTGGACATCGACTTGGACCAGAGCCCCAGATGAAAGTCCGCTCTCGGAGGCTCGACCGACCGGCTGTGTGCTGCACCCGGACTCCTCCAGCCCAGGCTCCCGGGGAGCCCTGCGAGGTGTTCCTCGGCGATTGCTGCACTCCGGAGCGCTCACGAGAAGGGAGCGAGCCAAAGTGGACCTGGAAACCTGAGAACGCGCATGCAAATCAGGGGCGCCTCGGGCAACCTGCGAATCTATCCTGGTGGCGCGCGCCCTGGGGGCAGGAGAGCCCAGCAGCGAATCGATGAGTCGGGCCGGTGATCGAAACGAGTCGGATCGGCGAAGGTCGGCAGCCGAGCCGGGAAGAGTCGAGTCGGCGGAAACCGCAGGCCGGCGGGCCTCCGTGGAAGCATCGGAGCCCACGATCGGCATCCGCAGCCGCTCCGAGGTCGAACCGCATCGACTGGGAGGCACCGCAGCGAGCCCCGGGCGCCCTGACCTTCCAGGAGGGCTATAAAATAGCACCCGACCTAAAAACCTATCCCAGAGCTATTCTACGTCTCGGTTTTAAGCTGTTTCGCTCCGCTTTTTAGGTTTTTAGGTCTCCAGTGCTAAAAAAGAGCTCTCTGGAAGGTCAGGGCGGAGGGGGGGAGGAAAGACGGGGCGGCCCCCGGGGCAGGCGGCGGGCCCCTCGCAGGGGGCCTGCGGGCCCTCCGCGGGGGGCCCGGAGGCATCCGGGGGAGGGCCGCCGAGGAGCGCCAGGCTTCCAAGGAGGGGCAACGAGGCGGCGGCGAGCACGGGAGGGGAGGGGGAAGGGAGAAGGAGAAGGCCTGCTCAGAAGGGTCGGAAGTCCCCGGGCCTTGTGGGAAATGTTCTACGCCTTCCCTGAAGACGCGGAAATCTTCTCAGAAGGCGCGAGGGGTCTTCTGAGGAGCCCTGCCGCCTTCTGAGAAGGTCTTCTCCTTCTCACCTCCCCCCCTCGCGAGAGGACACGAGACCCTTACGAGGGCCACAATGCCACAGGACTGCAGACGGCACAGGTCGCGAACACACAGGACACAAGGGTACCCTTGACTCGGAAGGGTCGACCTACAGTGGGGGCCCGACCACAAGAAACCTTCCACAAGAAACCTAACCCTGAGACCCCAGGACGTCCATTGAAATTTTCGGCGTGGGAACGTCACGCTTTCCATGACAAAACCATCGAAACCCAAGAAGCCCGAGAAACCCTGGAGGCAAGCAGGGTGTTTCCTTGACGTGGGTCTCCACTGTAGTCATCAACCCCGACTGTAGGGGGGGGGACTGGCACGGGGGGAAGAACATGGGCCTGGAATCGGCGGTACGCCGCCGACAGGTCGGCCATGGCCCCCCGATAGCAGCTCCGCGCGCTCCTCGGCGAGGTGGGGCTCTCAGGCTCCGGTCGGCGACGAGTGGGCGGTGGGGGCTCGACGCGCCCCCGCCCCCCAGGACTGTATGATCCCCCCCCCTGTCGTCGTCCCCCTGATCCAAGACTCCCCCCCTCGCCTTCTGAACGGCTGGCCCCCCGCTCCCCGCGCCACTCGCTGGTGCCCAGGGGGACGTAAGGCTCGGGTACGTGGGACTCGGGTTGGCCTGACGCGGCCATCCTGAAAGTGACGAGACCCAATCTGAAATTCGACGCGAGCTCCCGCTGCAGACATCCCACGGCAGCTGGACCGCCAGAATCCAGGACGTGCTCGTCAAGAACGGTCGGCAGAGCCGAATCCCGGCTTGCTCGAGCCTTACGTTCCCCCCGACGTGCGTGCTGCAGAGCCCAGGGCCGGCCGCAAGACTCGTCCGTCACCGAGAGGCGATCCTTTTGATTCGCGGGTCGAGAGCGCACCTCTTCCGGTCGAAGCTAAGCGGGCCACACGAAGCTTGAATTCACAAAACCCAAAATAGTCCAAACATAGTCTGGGGACTATTTTTGGGGGTATTCTTTGACCTTCTTGGCGTATTTTTGGGGTATTTTTTATTTTTCGTCGAAAATCCCCCTGTATGGGGGACACGCCCGACATAACGCAAGACTCATCCGTCATCGAGAGGGAGGAGGAGGAGGAGGAGGAGGAGGAGGAGGAGGAGGAGGAGGAGGAGGAGGAGGAGGAGGAGGAGGAGGAGGAGGAGGAGGAGGAGAGGAGGAGGAGGAGGAGGAGGAGGAGGAGGAGGAGGAGGAGGAGGAGGAGGAGGAGGAGGAGGAGGAGGAGGAGGAGGAGGAGGAGGAGGAGGAGGAGAGGAGGAGGAGGAGGAGGAGATCCGCCAAGGATCTCTCGGAGAGCCGGCGGGTCTGGAGGCTGCCGCGCCGGCGCGCAGCGACCGCTCCGGAGCGCGCTCTCGGAACGCTCCGAGGGCGCCCTCGGAGGGCTGTGGATGAAGGGCGCCCAGGACACACAAATAAATACACACAAATAAAAATATTCTCCATATTTTCCCATCTTTTCTGGGTTTCTGTCTTCCTCCCCACTTCCCATATTTTCCCATATTTTCTGGGGAATCGACGATTCATTGTGTCTGTGTGTTTCTTTCCCTCCTGAGTGGAGAGCGGTGCGCCTTCAGTGTGGAACAAAAAGTGTCATAAACATAGAAACTCGGAGGTCCGCGCGGATTTCTCGGAGAGCGTCTCGGAGAGCTGTGGAGCGGTGCGCCTTCAGTGTGGAACAAAAAGTGTCATAAACATAGAAACTCGGAGGTCCGCGCGGATTTCTCGGAGAGCGTCTCGGAGAGCTGTGGAGCGGTGCGCCTTCAGTGTGGAACAAAAAGTGTCATAAACATAGAAACTCGGAGGTCCGCGCGGATTTCTCGGAGAGCGTCTCGGAGAGCTGTGGAGCGGTGCGCCTTCAGTGTGGAACAAAAAGTGTCATAAACATAGAAACTCGGAGGTCCGCGCGGATTTCTCGGAGAGCGTCTCGGAGAGCTGTGGAGCGGTGCGCCTTCAGTGTGGAACAAAAAGTGTCATAAACATAGAAACTCGGAGGTCCGCGCGGATTTCTCGGAGAGCGTCTCGGAGAGCTGTGGAGCGGTGCGCCTTCAGTGTGGAACAAAAAGTGTCATAAACATAGAAACTCGGAGGTCCGCGCGGATTTCTCGGATCGGCCCTGGGGGAACTCTTCGCCACCACTTTTGGCACGCCCGAAATGAGTAGGGCAACGCATGGGTACGATGCCCAGCAACAAGTGTAGTACAACACCGAGAGAGGCCACCGTTGGGCAGGCTACCTTCTGTCTCAAGTGGACACCGTCCACTGCGGCGCCGACGACGAGCCCTGACCAACACGGGCAAGAACTGCTGTTGCTCTTCGCCCCCCACTCGTCCCATACCTATCACCATCGTCCCGAACCACGGCTGGACTCCAATCGAAGTCCTGGCAGGAATGCTTCTTAGCATTGGCTTCTGTGCTGACTCCTCTGTGCCCCGTGCCGCACGGTCGGAAACTCTCTGGCCCCAACGTGCCGCGGCGGCGGCCCCGTGGCGGCACGCCGTGTGCCCTGCACTGCAGACAACGTGTCGCTCCGCCCCGCGGGGCGGGAGACGGCTCCTCCTCCTCCTCCTCCTCCTCCTCCTCCTCCTCCTCCTCCTCCTCCTCCTCGCCCGAGGACCGGGCCGTGGATGCAGCGTGTGTCGCGCCGAAACGCGGGGAGGCGGCGCGACGCGCAAAGCCAGAGCTCCCGACCGCAAGCCGCCCACCCAAGGGGGCCGAGGCGCGTGTGGAGCTCGACTGCCAGAGCTTCTCGGAAGGCCTCAACTCCCCCCCCGTCTTGTCCCCTCGACGACGGACTCCGCGCATCCCGCCGCCATCTCGGGCCCCCTTTTCGGCAGGATCGACACGGGTACAGAAAGAAAGGGGTACGAAGACCAACAGCAGTTCCTGCTGATTTTGAACAAGGTTCGCTGTCGGCGCTGCCGCGGACGTTGTCCATTTGAGATACAAGGCCGCCTGTTAAACAGCGGCCGCTGTCGGCCTTGGACAGCATTTGTTCTTAGGTATCGTGCCCGCTTTTTCCGTACCCATGCCTTCGTGGGCTCTCTCTGGAGCCTGCAGACGAGAGCTGGCGGTGCGACGCGCTGAGCCAAAGCTCCCGACCGTACCTTGAGTAAGGACCAGCCGTCCCTGCATTCGTCTGGCCGGCCACGATATGTTCTTTAGAAACAAGCGAGTGTCCTGAGCACAAGAGCAGTGCTCTTAGAGCATGAAGCCGGCGCGCTGCAACAGGACCGTCTCGGCCAGAAATGCCCAAACAACATGCCATGCAGGCCACGAGAGGTTCTCAGAACACTCTTTTCGGTTGGCCCATGGGCAGGCCCGGGCGCCTCGCCACTGCATGCGCGTCTCCCCCGCCCAGGCCAGAAACCGCGGCGGCCCAGCTCTGGGCCTCTCGGCCTCGGGGGGCCGCCTCGGGCCCCAGGGGGCCCTACTGGAACCACCCCATGGCGCGAGGTCCGTGCGGCTGTCGGCGTCGAGCGCTTCACGGCCCAACGCGCTCCACAGAGCATCGAGACGCCGCCTGGCTGCCCTTCCCCCCCTTTTCCTGCTCCTATGCCTCAGCCTCCTCCAACTCCGCATCATCCTTCGCGTTCTCTCCTCTGCCTACGCCTCCCCATCCCATCCCACCTCCTCCAGCCACTTGGTCCTCCTCCTCCTCCTCCTCCACCTCCTCCTCCTCCTCCTCATCATCCTCCACCTCCTCCTCTTTCTCCTCCTCCTCCTCCTCCTCCTCCTCCCCCTCCTCTGACCTTCTCCTCTGGCCTTCTCCCACTCCCCCTCCTCCTTCTTCTCCTCTGACCTTCTCCTCTGACCTTCTCCTCTGGCCTTCTTCTCTGACCTCCTCCTCATGACCACGGGTGCCTCCCTCTCGTTTGTCGTGTCTTGTCTTGTTTTGCTCTCCTGTCTTGTCTCCCCTCTCTGCCGTTGCTGTTGCTCCCCCGTCCGGCTCAGAGGATATCGAACTCCTCGCAGTCTGGCTTTGCACGCCGCCAGGCTTGGACGCGTCGGCCACCGCCACTGTCTCTGTCGCCGTCGCCCGAGTCGGTGGCCCTGACGAGGGGGTGGCGGCGGCAATGGCAGTGCCGAAACGCGCCCGCAGCTCAGCAAGGCGTGAGGGTGCAAACCCGACTCGTCTGGCTGATGCTCCGGGAGGGGCCTGTGCTCAGGGAGGGCCGCACCACCGCTCAACGACTGTTGTGTTTCGAACCTGCTGGGTTGGCCCTTTTAATTTTCTGTGCGCTTCAATTTTGGCTCCAGCCTCAGCTGTTGGTGCACTGCGAAGCGCCTCCGGGCCAGCTCACCCGAGTCGGTTTTCCGCTCGCACGGGTGCCTCCCGCTCGGACCTCCTCCTTTGACCTCCTCCTCCTCAGCTTCCTCCTCCTCCTCCTCCTCCTCCTCCTCTTCGTCCTCCTCCTCCCCCTTTCCTCCTCCCCCTCCTCCTCCTCCTCCTCCTCCTCCTCCTCCTCCTCCTCCTCCTCCTCCTCCTCCTCCTCCTCCTCTTCCTGCTCTTCCTCCTCCTGCCCGGCTTCCGCGGGGCACGTCCCCGGGCTGCAAGGTCACGGAGTCGGTGGGGCCGACCGCGCTGTCGGGCAGGGGTGCCGCTCCCGGCTGGATGGGGTCCCAGATCCTGGGGGCAGGTCGGAGCGACCCGCGGAGGGGGAGGGAGAGGGGGAGGAGGGGGAGGGATAGGAGGAGGAGGAGGAAGAGGAGGAGGAGGAGGAGGAGGAGGAGGAGGAGGAGGAGGAGGAGGAGGAGGAGGAGGAGCAGGCGAAAGGTCATACCTGGTACAATCTTGGCGACGGGCGGGCTATCAGAGGCCCTGCGCACGAGGGCACGGCTGCCTCGCGCGACGGGCTGCGCGGGGGGCCCAAAGCGGCATCCCGCGTGAGCTACGAGCTACGAAAAGAACCCTGTCTTGCGCGAGATGACATAGCGACCTCACGCGGTGGCTTACGCGGGCCGCCAGCGTGGAACGCATCATTGGAAACGAGGATGCGCACGCGGGCCCCCACGCGGGCAGCTTACGCGCGAATCTCGGCGCAATCGAGCCTTTCTCCCGCGGCGCCTGCGCGGAACAACTTCCGGTCTCGGGCGACCTTATGCGGGCGACTTGCGCGCGAATGCCTGCGCAAAGTGGCCTCGCTTTTTGTGCCTCTCAGACTGGTGTTGCCGTCAGCGATGCGTTTGCCCCGGCGGCCGTCTGATCTCGACGTGTGGGGGGATGCTGCTGATGATGAGGATGATGGGCGCTGTTTCGATGGAGCTGCCTGTCAAGCGGCAGTCCAAGAAACCTCATCGGAGAGTGAGCGTTTTGGCACGCGCCACCCGGTACGGCTCGGTTCCACGAGGCGATGAGGCACTGTGAGAGAGATGCTGCCACTTGTTTGTCCACCGATGCTCCTCTTCTCCTACCTTCGTGCCTCCCCTCATTTGCCTTCCACCTCTTCTACTTTTCCCCTCCCCTTCCCTCTCTCCCTCGACCTCTCCCTCCCCGTCCCCCCACACATCGCCCCCCCGCCACCCTGTACATGCAAAGACGCTCGCGAGATCATGCGCTGCACACCTCCTAACCCAACACAGCGGGGCATGTCTAACGTGCGTGCACAAGGCGCTGACCCGGTTCTCATGTCGTAATGGCAATTATCCGCCACCGTGCCTCGAGACACAAAATGAAATGTCCCCAGGTCCCTTAAATTCCTCCATAGTGTGTATAAACAGATTCTCTAGAGGCCCGCAGGCCAGAGTTCCGGGCGCTCTTGGGCTCTCCGGAAGCTTGCCGCAGGACCCTTGGGGCTTCCAGAAAGACGCCCGAAATCCCCCATTGCCCCCCCATAAAGCCCCCCAAACCTTTTAAGAGTCCCACAAGAGGCCCCCAAGAGCGCTCTAAGAAGCCTCAGAGATGCATCTGAAAGTACCCTTCTTCGCGTGAGACCTCTGACCCACAACCCAGGCACGGCGGCGGGATAGGCCGAGGGCCACTCGATCTGCCGCCCCCTGTGGTCTTGCCACAAGGGTGCCCGGCGTGCTGGATGTTTGAAGGTTTTTGGTTCTTTTCGAACTTCCCCTGGGGCTTCGGCCGATGCCGCCGGCCACCCGGAAGGCTGCGTTCGAGGTGGCTGCAAAGGTTGTTCCTGGTCTAGATAGCTCCAAGATGGCCCAAGTTTGCCTCCAAGACGGCCGAGATGGCTCTCAAGTTCGTTCAAGATGGTCCAGGAGGGCCTCCAAGACGGCCCCAGATGCCACGAAGAGGCCTCCAAGACGGCCCAAGAGGCCTCCAAGAGGTCCTCCAGGAGGGCACAACGATGCCACAATCATCGATTTCCCAAAAGCTTTTGAAGGATTTAGCCTTTTGCTTCTTTTCGGCCTTCCGACGGCCCAAGACGGCCCAAGAGGCCCCCAATATTGCCCCAAGATCGCCCAAGAGGCCTCCAAGATGGCTCCAGGACGGCTCAAGAGACTCCCAATACAGCTTCCAAAGGGCCCCAGGACGGCCAAAAGACGTCCAAGATGGCCGTCAAGACGGCCCTGAAGCGCCCCGCGAGGGCCCCAAGACGGCCCAAGGAGGCTCCCAAGACGGCTTCCGACTGCGTTAGACGGGTTAGGAACGCCGTGAGACGGCCAAAGAGGCCCCCAAGAAGTCCCTAAAAGCTTCAAAGAGGCCCGAGAAGGTCCCCAAGAGGCCTCCATGAGGCCCCCAGGAAGATCCCAGGAGGCCACAAGAATGACACCCACAGCTCCCAAGAGGTCTCCTCATCTTTCTTCTCATCTTCCTTTTTCCTCCCACTCCTCCTTTTCTCCTCCTCCTCCTTCTCCTCCTCCTCCTCCTCCTCCTCCTCCCGTGCTTCCCGAGGAGCTTCCACAACGGTTGGGGGAACGCATGGTCCAGTAGCGTGGCCAAACTTTGCCCAAACGTTTGGCCACATAGGCGTATCCTAAGAGGCAAGGGGCGGCGGTGATTCGCCGTAGGCGTCTTCGATCCGTCGCCCCCGTCTTCTTGCAGAAGGGTGTCTGGCGTGCTAGATTTGGAATTGGTTTGGAACTTCTTCGAAAATGAGAAAACCTTCGGCCCAACCCGCCGTCCACCCGGAGAGCCGCATAAAGACCTCAACGTGCATCACAAATCGTCCCAAAACGGCCTTCAAGATGGCTCCAAGACGGCTGAAATGACTTGCGAAATGCCTCCAAGACGGTCAAGATGGCCCTGGATGGCCAAAACGGTTCCAATATGCCTCCAATACGACCAAGATTGCCCCCACGACTGCCCAAGATGCCCGCAAAACGGCCCAAGAGGACCCTACGACAACCCAAGAGGGCTCCTCGAGGACCTCCAGGAGGCCACAATCATTGATTCTCTGGGAATTGTTCACCGATTTTAGCGTTCTCGCTTTTTCGGATGTCCGACGCTCTAAGACGGCCCCATCGGCCCCAACGATCGTCCAAGACGGCCCCGAAGAGCCCCGTACAACGGCCCCAAGACTGCCCAAGAGGCACCCAAAGCGGCCCCAGAGACCTCCACGACGGCCCTGAAGCCCCCAAAGGACCCCCCAAGGTAGATGGCGCCAGTAGGCCCTAGGAAACCACCACGAGGGCCCAGGAGGCCCCCAAGAGGCTTTTCAGAGGCCCCAGATCCCAAGAAGCCCCCAAGAGGCCCCAAGAGGGCCTCAAGCGGCCTCCTCGTCCTCCACCTCCTCCTCCTCCTCCACCTCCTCCTCCTCCTCTTCCTCCTCCTCTTCCTTCTCCTCCTTGTTGGGTCGGAACAACGAAATTGTTGCTTACCACAAGTCCGCCCGCGCTGGGCACGACCCCGCGGAGGGCTTGCCGACACGTGGGCGCCCTCGCTCGGCTGGTCGGCCACGCGCTGGCCGACCCGCTTCCGTTTCTTGCTCGCGTCGTGCGGTGTATTGCGTGCCGTGCTCCTTCCGCCTGGTAGTGGGGCGGGATAGCAATACCGTGCCATGTCTGGGGGTTCGGCTCATGTCTCCCGTTGGGGATCTTGCTGCCGACTGGGGTCTCGTCACGGTCCATAATGGCCTGTTGCGTTGGCTTGCCCGATGGGGCCTTCTGGTCCATAATGGCCATCTGCTGTCGCTGGCCCGAATGCCAACAGTGACCATCTACTATCTGGTCAATCATGTGCCCACTCGGGCGCCGACAATATGCATTGGCTCGCGGCTGGGCCCATTGCGACCGCTCTCTTACCCGCGATGTCTCCGTCGCGACCCGTTGTGGCCGCCGGCTCGCTGGTGCTAGCAAGACAACAGCCGCCCGCCGAGGCTCGTGGCAGGCTCGTGCCACTGTGCCCGCAGGCGGCTCTTGCACGGTCCATAGTGGCCCCCTGCTCGTCCTTACTGTGAGGCCCCAGCAGCCCATGTAGGGCTCGCGGCAGGATTCACAGTGACCCCGTGCAGCCCCGTGCGGCCCACTCCCGCCGGGCCCCCTTGGGCTTTCTCTGCGGCGGTCTCCGCTCGTCTTCGTTGCGCGCCTGCGCGTGGGCGCGCGTGCCGCGGCAGTCGGGCAGTTTTCTCAGACGCGCGGTGGCTCTGCGAGCGCCCTGGGAAGTGGCGGGCTCGCGATGGCGATGCTTGCCTTCGTGCGCTCAGACGTTCTCGGCGGGGCGAAGTTGTCTGACATCCAGTGTGCGAGAGTGGCTGACTGCCTGGCAGCCAATGGGCTGACGGTGCCTGAAGATTGGCCAACTGTTCAATTTAAAAACTTGCGGGGCGGCGAGGGCGTGTCTGCGCTGTCGAAAGCAATCCTGCGGCGCGCACTGGATGGCGAGACGGTGGCGGGCGCCGTGGCAAGTCCGCCGAGGGCCCGCGGGGCCCGCGAATGCATCGGCGGGATGTCTCGCAGCATGATGCTTGGCCAGCGCCGAGAGGGGGGCGTGTAGGCATCGGCGCGGGCCTGCCCCGCGTTGCCGTGGGCGACCTTCCGCAGTTGCCGTGGCCGCGGTAGCCGCGCATCTCTCTCCTGGCTCGCTGGCGCGAGCCCCCGCTCGCTCAGGTCGGCGGGGGCCGACGCGCTGACCGAGGTGCAGCGCGCAACAGCCAAGGGCATCGAGCGTCCTTTCGTCTGTGCGGATCTCACAATGTCCACGCCGCTCGGCGCGCGCGGCCTCCCCCGATGAAGACGAACCCGAATCTCAATGGAAACGACCGCGCTGGTCGGGGCGCTCGGTCGGGCATGGCGGCAGAGAGTCAGCCGCTTCTGTCCTGGGCACAATGGCGCCGGATGCGCGGTGCCCGGCGGCGGCGGTCGCGGTTCAGATCTCGCGCGCGAGCGACTGGGCGCGTGGGCGTGCGGTGCTCCAAACAAGCGCCGGCGGGCCTCTGCCGCCGGTAGCTCGCGCGCGCGCGCGCGACTTACTCTGGGTGCGCTATTCGCCGAGGCGGAAGGCGCGGGCGGCCATTGCGCGTGGCCGCCCGGCGCGGAGAACCTGGACTGAGGGCGCCGCCGCCGGCGCGGCGGGCTTCGAGGCTGCAGTTTCGCGCTGTGTCTCGGCGGAGTAATTCCAGGGCGCGCGTCGGCCAGCAGGTCAAAGTGGCTGGTTTGTCGCTTGACAGCGGCCTGCCCCAGGCGGCGGCCGCGGAATGTGTTCGGGCCGCGAATGCCGCGTCGCCGCGACCCCTGTTCGCGCGATGCGCCGCCGCAGCCGAAGGCCACCGCGCTGGTCGGAAAGGGCGCGGGAACGGGCGGCGCGGCGGCGCAGGGGCAGAGCGCGGGCGCGAGCGCCGCGGGCGCCGCTTGCATCTCCTAGAAGAGCGATCGCGAGCCAAGGGCTGACGGGTGGCACGCCCGATCCTCGCGCCGCGGGGAGTGCGACAAGCGCCCCTGGCATTCGCGGGCGGTGAATTCGCCTCGGGGCAACCGTCGACCCTGGCACTCGCCAGAGGCGCGCGCATCCCACGGCGCGCGGCGCGCCGTCCAGGATGTGCATTCCGCGCCGCGTGGGCAATCAATGTCGACGTAGGGGCGCCCATCCTGGCTGCCGTTCCGAGTGGTCGCGCCTGCATTCGCGCGCCGCGCCGTCGCCGCGTTGCCCAGGGCGTGCGTGCGCATTTTCCACCGCGGTCCGAATGCGACACGAGGGCCGCCCGCCCGCGGGGTCGCGGGGCGCGGGGGCGCCCAGGGCAAGCCTGTGCGCCCGCGCTCGCGCGGCGCAGGAATCGAAAGGGCCGCGTGTTGCAGCCGCGCGGGGCTGCCGGGCGCTTGCACCCAGGTCCGCGCAGCGTCGCGGGGTCGTGCGCCTGCGACGTCGCCCCTCGAGTTGCAGTGGGCGCGGTTGCGCGCTGGCCGCGGCTAGCCGTCGCTCGGGGCGGCGGGTTTGCGGCGGGCGGCGCGCCATTCTCCGGGATTCATGCCGGGGGCGCCGAACTTCGCGCCGCTGGAGCGGCTGCGGCCTGGCGCGCTGGCTGCGACGCCAACGCGCGCGCCGTCGCTGGGCCGACCAGCGGCGCCCTGCTCGTCCGATTGCTCGACGAAGTCGGATGCGAGAGCGCGGCCTGCGCGTTTTTTTCCTTGGGGGGGGGCGCGGGGCGCCCTTCGCGGGCCCGCCCCCGCGCGCGGGCAACGAGCGATCGTGGCCTTTCCCAGCGCCGCTAGGCCTCGTGTAGTCTGCCGCGGGCGCGGCGCGCAGCGGCGCCGCGCTGCCAGGCGCTCTCGAACATTTCCGCGCTCGGCCGGAAGCCCCGCCAAAAGAATTGGGCGCGGTCGAGCTCGTGGGCCCCGTCTTTGCGCCGCGCTTCCGCGTGGGGCAAATGTGGGGGAGCGGGCCCGACAAGCTAGCGCTCGCGGGTGACGGGGCGCGCTCGTCAAGTGACGAGGCGTCGCAGCGGGGGCGGCTCGGGCGCGAGGCCATCGGCGCTTCCCTCGGCGCGCGCGGAGCCTTGGTGGCGCGCGTGGGCGAGGCGCCTGGGCTCTGGAAAGCGCGCGTTGACGCTGCGTGCTGGCGCGATCCGCCGATGCCGGAGCGCCGTGCTTTTTCCCTGGATTGCGCCCCTCGTCGGCGCGCGCGCGTCTTCGTTGCGCAGTACTTCGTCGCTTCGTTCGGAACGACATCCTCCGTTCGCAGCAGGGGGCGCGCTGGCGCAGTGCTGGTCGCGCTGGGCCACGGACTCGTTTCTGTTCCTGCCCCGCGTTATGTGAGCAACTTCTTGTGCCCTGGGCGGCGGGATAGGCTGCGCTACGCAATGTGCCAGTTCGCCCAGCTAGTCCGAATCGTGCCGCGCCCGTGCGTAGTGGCCGACGGGAAAATGCTGTTCGGTAGCTCGCTTGGCGTGGCCTGCGATGGACTTGCCGCCGGCCTTCTCCAGCTAAGAAGACATGGGGGCGACCCCGTAGAGCAGGCGCAGCTTGCCGTCCGCGTTCTTCTCTCGTCCGCGGGGTGCGCGAATGTGCCCCCGTAGAGATGCGCGCGGTGCGCGTCCCCCGCCATGGGGCCGACGTGCCTCTAGTTGTACCTCTTGCCCGCCTGGCCCTTCCCTCCGTGCAGGTCCTCGATGTGCTGCCTCATGGGCTCGCCCCGCTGGCCCTCGGCCCGCCTGGTCTAAGGGATAAATGCTGCCGCGGGCCAGGATCTTGATGCGCGCGCGGCTAAGCTTGTTGTCGCAAGTGCCATGGCCCAGCGTGAAGCCGACGACCCTGTTCCCAAACGTTGCATTCAACTCAACTGAAACCGAATAGAAAACGTTCCCAGTTGCCGCGAGGTTCTTGCCGGCCTGTAACGTCGTCGCCAGGCAGGCATGGGCCGCCTCGTCTATTTTGCCGCCGTTGAGGTTGCCGTCGTCGGGCTCCATGAACATGCAGAAGACGGCGCCGACAGGGGTGCCCGCGTCCACTTTGCTGCTGCCGTCGGGGGTGGGTCGAAAACGCAAGCGTGGGAGCCCGTCTCCCCGGCGACCTTGTTGTTGACCTCGTCGTTCTGGGCAAAGTCCTCGACAAAGACCCCGAGTCGTCTTCTCCCTGTGGCGCCAATGTGCCAAGTTTTCCCAGGTGTGCCTCAGGGCGCTCTCCAGCACTTCATTGGTGAAGACGCCGAGTTTTTTCTGGTGCCGCCCCTGGACATTCAACTCCCCGTGTGGCGCGGGGCGCCTTCGCGATCAGGTTAACGACGGCCGTAGTGCCATTGAAGATCGAAGCCATGATGGCGTTGAGGCCGGTGTCCACGACGCCGCGTTTGCTTGGCTCAGTCATGCACCAGGACAAAATGGCGCCCGTCTGCTCGCACACGTCGCTGAACCTGTCCAGGTTGAGCGTCGGCTCGGGGGCCGCCACCTTCATGAAGTCCGCGCGGCGCGTCGTGCGCCCAGCGCGCCTGGCGCGGCCGGCCGCCGCGAGCGGCGTCACCGCGGCCGCCCACGCGAGGGGCGTTTCGTAGTGATAGGCAGGTGCGTCCCAGGCCGCCGGTGCTCAGGGCGGCCGTTCACATTCGCCGAGAAGCGTCGGCGTTCCAATCTTTTACGTAACGTTTGGAGCAGGCTCCGCCTTTCATGCATGGGCAGTCAGGGTTGAGGAGGCCGCAGGGGCCGTGCATGCCCCGCGGGGCGGGTGCCCGCGGTACCCCGACGAGCGCGGTGGCGGCCACTGCGGGCGGCGGGGCGGGCGGCCCTGAAGAAAAAAGGCGGGGGCGTCGCCGCGGGTCCTGCGCGAGGCCTCGGCCACGAACAGGCCTGGACCACAACGGCTGCAGATGATGGCGGGGGAGGGGGGGCGGATGACGGCGGGTGATGATGCTGCTGATGGTGATGCTGCTGATGATGTTGACTCTGCTTGTGACGGCAAAGACGGGGCTGATGCTGATAAGGATGCTACGGATGATGATGATGCTGATGATGGCGATGGTGATGATGCTGATAATGATACAATTGTAATGACAGTGATAATGAGACTGGTGATGATGATGATGATGATGATGATGATGATGATGATGGTGGTGGTCATGATAATGCTGGCGATGATGCTGCTGCTGCCGACGCTGATGCTGATGTTGATGATGGTGGTGGTTATGATGATGCCGGTGACGATACTGAGGCTGATGATGACGGTGCGATGCCGATTATCGCACTGACGATGACGATGGTGATGACGTTGATGCTGCTGATTATGGCAATGACGGCGACATTGCTGATGAACATGATCATGGTGGCGGTGGTAATGAGGATGCTGATGATGATAACGATGAGAATGATGATATTGATGCTACTGTTTGTAAACATGCTGATGACGATGTTGCTGATGATGACGATTCTACTGCTACTGATGATGATGATTGGCATGCTGGTGGACATGCTGGTGCTACTGCCGATGTTGGCGGTGATGAAGATGATGTTGCTGCTGAAGATGAAGAAGAGGATGCAACTGATTATGATGATGGGGATGACTATGGTGGTGTGAATGAGACGAAACACGACACGACAATGCGCTTGAGGAGTATCCAAGATGCCGCCCACAGCACTCGTACCTCTGGACAAAGATGGCCCAGCGTGTCAGCACCGAAGGAGGAAGAGGAGGAGGAGGAGGAGGCCTGGGCTGTCATTGGCCGACGCTTGCCCAAAACCACTACCCCGAGCACCTTGAGCTGTGTATGCGCGCCAGTTTTGGACACACTTCCCTGCAGGCTTGAGACAGCCTCCACCACACCTCGTCCACACCTGACAGCCCATGCAGCTGGATTGCATCGTAGCGGGTTCCCGTTCCCAGGAGTCTCTGGGCGCGCTGCCCGTGTCGGCTACAGCCAACCCGTATAATAAGGATGGGGATAAGGGTGCAAGGGCCTTGGAAGGCCATGTCGACACCCTGCGAGCGGGGCGCGGCCAGCGAAAGCGGCCAGGGATGGGCCGAAGGGGAAGAATGCAAATGTAATCTTGTAAAGTCGCTCATCTATACTATGCGGGCTGACTGTACATGCAAGAATGATCCCAAGCAGTATTGACATTTGGTGTGCGGCCTGCCAATCGTTGCGTGTGATGCGAGCAAAAGCGACCCGCGTGCTTGGGCTGGGCCCCCCGCGCCCCCCGGAAGCCGCGCAGCAAAGGCCTCTCCGGCGAGGGGTCACCAGGTTATCGGGTCTCAGTTCGGGTCTCTGGAGACCGTTCTGGATGATTCGGGCCCCCCTGGAATGCCATCGGCGAAGCGCAGCTGCCGGAAAGCATCCCGAGGCAGGAACATGTCCAGGAACCAACGAAAACTCATTTCGAACTGTCGAAATACCTCTTCGATCCTTGTGCCTGTGCGAGTCGCGACGACCCGGGCCACAACAATCCAAGGCACCAGTTGCAGCCTTTCTGTGCGGGGCGTGCGGGGCGCAATTTCTAGCGCGGTGCACTGCCGCGCAGGCGTCACCTTCCCGCGTGGTGGACCTATGCCTCCCTCGGCACATTGTGGGGGAGGAGGAGGAGGAGGAGGAGGAGGAGGAGGAGGAGGAGGAGGAGGGGAGGAGGAGGAGGAGGAGGAGGAGGAGGAGGAGGAGGAGGAGGAGGAGGAGAGGAGGAGGAGGAGGAGGAGGAGGAGGAGGAGGAGGAGGAGGAGGAGGAGGAGGAGGAGGAGAGGAGGAGGAGGAGACGACGGGACGAGGAGGAGGAGGGAGGAGGAGGACGAGGAGAGAGGAGGAGGAGGAGGAGGAGGAGGGGAGGAGGGAGGAGGAGGAGGAGGAGGAGGAGGAGGAGGGCAGACGGAGGAGGAGGAGGAGAAGGAGGAGGAGGAGGAGGAAGAAGAGGAGGAGGAGGAGGAGGAGGAGGGGGAGAAAGTGGAGGGAATGTGGTGGGGAGGGGAGAGAGGAGACTAATTATGATGATGCTGCTGCTGCTGCTGGTGATGCTGCTGATGATGAGGACGATGATTACGGTGATGAGGGATGTGAAGGAGGGCGAGAGAAGGGAGGAGGAGTAGGACCAGAAGGAGGACGAGGAACAAGAGAAGGAGGTGGACGACGAGGATCAGTGGCAGCAGCAGCAGAAAGGTGAGGTGGAAGACCCATCGTCCTCGTAGGAGGAGGAAGAGGAGAAAGAGGGGGAACAGGAAAAGGATCAGGGCGAACATGGGGAGGGTGAGGAAGAAGAGGAGGAGGAGCAGAAGAAGGAGGAGGAGGAACAGGAGATGATTGTGAAGGAGGTTGTGGTGCTGCACTGACACATGGGAGCGGTGATCACAAAGAACAAGGCTTCGTGGTGACAATCGTCGCCAGCCGCACTGGCAGCTGCCGTGCGCGCTTGCGCGCCTGGCACGATGCAGTCGTAACCTGCACTCGCGCGGATTCCTGCGGTGCAGAACGGCATTAAATGATTATATGCACTCTGGGGACCGGTGAGACATTCACTCGCCCGGCCCCGTCCCCCGCTCTCCTGTTCCTCTTCCTCTTTTCCTGCCCCCCTCCTCGTTCCTCCTCCCCTTCATCTTTTTTGTTCATCTCCTCCTGTTCTCCTCCACTCCTGCTCCTCCATTTTTTATTTTTCCGCTTCCTCCTTTCTTCTTCTTCTTCCTCCTCCGCCGTTCCTCTCCTTATTTTCTCCATCTCGTGTCCTGCTTCCCCAGACAGTGCTTGCGCTGAGGGTTTCTTGCATCCGGTCTCAGGAACTGGGCCTGCGCGTCGGTCTGGCGGCTATGTGGTCGCCATCGCCGCCCCGTCGCCACCTCGCCTCCGCCTGTCGTCTGGGCCTGCGCGTGGGGTCCGCCGCCTTGTGCTTGCCGTCGCCGCCCCGTCGCCGCCTCGCCGCCGTCCAGTGTCTGGGCCTGGGTGGCGGTCCGGCCGCCAAGTGGCTGCCGTCGCCGCCCCGTCGCCGCATTGCTTTGCATTGCTTGCTCTGCATTGCTTTGCACTGCTTTGCGCCACTTCGCATTGCTTTGCGCTACTTTGTATTGTATGCTCCGCCACCATGCCGCCGGGTACGGAGTGGGCGTCCTCAGGTACTTCGCCTCATCCCGTAAGCTTCAATCTTCACCCCTGAGGAGTCTTTAAGGGGCCCGGGCCAAGACGGTCCAAGAGGGTCCCGAGACGCCCCAAAATCGCACCAAGACGCCCAAGATGGTCCCAAGACGGCCCAAAAGGTCTCCGCGTCGCCTCAAGAGAGCCCAAGTGCCTTCCCGAGAGGGCCCCGAGGGCCTAAATCAATGATTTTGGGGTCCTCGACTTGTCGAGCTACCCAAGAAGGCTCCAAGACGTCCCCAGAGGCGCCCAAGACTGTCCAGCTCAAAGAGGGGAACACGAACCGAAAATCCGAGTCTTCCGCCCCAAGAGGCCCCCAGAAGGGCCCAAGGAGGCCCCAATAGGCCCCCAGGACCCCAAGAGACCCCCAAGAGGCCTCGCACACGCTCCAAGATGTCCCAAAGCGGCCCCGAAGAGGCCTCAAAACCGCCCTCAAGAGGCCCCCGAGAAGCCTCCCACGACATCTCACCGAACATCCTATAGGCCTGTAATCCACAACGCCGGTACGGGGGCGGGATGGGCCGAATACCATTCGACATTGATTTGTATTGCTTTCTTTGCGTTGATTTGCACTGCTTTGCTTTGCTGTTTTTTCTCTTCGCTGCTTTTCATTACTTTGCATTTGTTCTTATTGTTTCGCGGTGCTTTGTGTTGCTCTGCATTGCAATGCATTGCTTTTCTTTGCATTGCATTGCTTTGCTCTGCACCCCACGGGTTGCACCACATGGATTGCACAACCTTCACAATGCACCGCGTATATTGCAAGACGCCACTGTTTGGGGTCCACGCTGGCTAATATAGAGAACTCCTTCCTGTCGCACTTCAAAACGTGTCGGTAGGGCGGGACTGGCGTTTCGCCTGGTTTTCAAAATGTGGCTCTTGCCTAGCGCAGTGCGTACTCGGCTCGACAGTTGGAAAAGTTTCACGGATGGACAGGTGTCGTTCTCCAAATGGAGCCCTCGCCTGAGCGCTGCGCACATTAGTCGTAAGTCTTTCCAGCAATTACAGTACACGTTACACGGATGGAGTACAGGTCGTCTTAAATATGAGACTCTCGCCTCAACGCGGCGCACATTCGTTTTGAACGAATCCAACAAGTACAAGGATGGGTCATGAATCGTTTTCAACGGGTAGCTCTTTCGTCTGAACGCCGTGCACATTCGCCTCAAACGTTGGAGGGCGGTTCCTTCAAGATGGGGCTCTCGCCTCAGCGCCGCGCAGAGTCGCCCTCAACATTTCCAGCACCTGCACGGATGGAGGGCGGCTCCTTTCCGCAGGCCCGCCCATTAATCAGGCATGCACTTGCTCGGACTCTCCAGGATGACGCCTCTCTCGCAAATGCCGCACGGGACACATGAACACCGCCTGGCTTTGGGCGCTGGTGGGTCGGTCGGAGAGTCGGACGTGGGAAGCATCGGGTGCTCGACGCGTGCTCCACGGCACGCCTGGATCTCAGAGCAACTGGCCCTCTCGGAACACTGCCTCGCCGAATCGGTCACCATCGTTTTGGGCACTCCGGGCTCGAGACCACTCGAAGCCTCGCCTGGGACCCCAAGGAACCGTATGTGTCGCTCGTGGCCGTCTTTTCCCCTCATCTCTCAACTGTTCCTCTTCAGCGGTGTGATCCGCATATTCGTGATCCACAACCGCCTGGAGGCCCCGCGCGGATCCAAGAAATCCGCGCCGAGCGCCAACAGTTTATGTCTATGGCGTTTTTTTTTTTTTGTTTGTTTTTGTTTTGTTTATTCTTCTTGTTTTTTTGTTTTTGTTTTTTTCCTTCTTCTTCTTCTTCTTCGAAAGACGGTCCGCGCAGGCAGCCAAGGACCCCAAGATGCCACGAAGAGGGCCCCCAGACTCGGGTGTTGCTAGAAGTGCCCCTGGTCCGAGGTGCCCCCCAGCTTCCCGCTCCATTTTGGAGCTCCTTGTGGCCCTCTGGGCCTCGTGAGGGGTGCCCTGGAGGCCGTCCGGGCCACCCCGAGAATCCAAGAGGTACCTTGGGCCAGGGGCACTTCTAGCAATACCCGACAGTCGGGAGCGGCCAAGAGGGGGGTGTCCAAGAGGGGGGGGTGCAAATCATGACCGGCGGCACGTGCGCGGCCCAGCGGGGGGTCCAGGGACGTAATGAAGTAAGAGGAGGCGCCCCGAAACCTGGGGAAACATCATGGCCGACGCCATGATATCCACCCCCCCCTAGTCATCACCGCCCTCTTCCCCTGACCTTCCAGGAGGGCTAAAAAATAGCACCCGACTTAAAAACCTATCCCAGAGCTATTCAACGTCTTGGTTTTAAGCTGTTTCGCCCAGCTTTTTAGGTTTTTAGGTCTCCAGTGTTAAAAAATAGCTCTCTGGAAGGTCAGGGTCTCCGCCCCCGAGACAGATGGCCCCAAGGTGCCTCCGAGAGGGCCCGGGGCCCCCCCTCCGCCCTCTTTTGAGGCTCCTCGCCGCCCCTCCGCCCTCTCGGGGCCTCCGCCGCGGGGGGCGGACCCCGCGGGACAGGTCGCGCCGCCTTCGGCGCGCCCACTTCCCCGCGGAAGGGGCCCCAAGGGCACGCGAGCAGATACGGACAGAGCGCAGGATTTTGCCAGCACTTTTCCGCACGTTTTGGGGTCTCATCTTCCCCCCCACCCCCCCACACACTTCCCATGTTTTCCCCCACCTTCTGGGGGGCACGCGAGTAAATGCGGACAGAGCGCAGGATTTTGCCAGCACTTTTCCGCACGTTTTGGGGTCTCATCTTCCCCCCCCCCCCCCACACTTCCCACTTCCCATGTTTTCCCTCACTTTCTGGGGGGCACGCGAGCAGATACGGACAGAGCGCAGGATTTCGCCAGCACTTTTCCGCATGTTTTGGGGTCTCATCTTTCCCCCCCCCCACCCCACTTCCCATGTTTTCCCCTACCTTCTGGGGGACGCGCGAGTAAATACGGACAGATCGCAGGATTTTGCCAGCACTTTTCCGCACGTTCTGGGGTCTCATCTTCCCCCCCCCCCACTTCCCATAACTATCTTCCCCTACTTTCTGGGGGGTCGACGATGCATGGTGTCTGTGTGTGTTTTTTGCTCCCTCCCGATCCTTCCCCGCCCCTCCGCGCATCCACCAACACTACGACCCCCAAACGCAAGCTCTTGATGTGGGTCGACGCGCGCAGCGCGGCCCACGGGGTCCGATTTCTGTGGTTGCGGTCGCCCGTTTCGGCGCGAACCTTCGGATTTTTGGGGTCTCTGTGGCGCCGCCACGTCGTGGGAGCAAACCTTGCGTCTGATCTCGAGGAGGGATGCAGGGTGACAAGCGAAACAAATTTGCCGAGGATGCCTCAAGCGAGACAAGCCACTGCTGAGGACGTTTCAGAGAGGGCCAAGAGCTGAGGATGTCTCAAGATATCCTCGGCTTTGGCTCCTCTGTTAACATCTTTCTGCTGGCCTCTGGTGGGCAACTTTTATCATCACTCCGTGACCGCCGAACTTTATTATCCTCCTCCTCCTCCTCCTCCTCCTCCTCCTCCTCCGCCTCCTCCTCCGCCTCCGCCTCCGCCTCCGCCTCCTCCTCCTCCTCCTCCTCCTCCTCCTCCTCCTCCTCTTATTCTCTGTAGTAGAGGGGCAGGGGCCTTTGGCTTTGCGCACTGCGGCGGCGGCCCCGGCGAGGCGCTGCCCTGGGCGTGATCTGCGAGGTGGCGCAGCGTGCCGCTCCGCTCCGCGGGGCCAGATGCCTGGGCAACTCTCGGGACCCTGGTGCCTGGGACTGAAGGGGCCCACAAACACACACAAATAAATACACACACACACATACAAATATATATCCCCCACATTTTCCCATATTTTCTGGGTTTTTGTCTTCCCCCCCACTTCCCATTTTTTCCCATCTTTTCCTGGGGATCGACGATTCATTGTGTCTGTGTGTTTCTTCCCCTCCTGAGGGACGTGGATAGCGAGTCGCGCCGACGCGCGGTGGGCCATGACTGGCGGCGCGACGCGCTGAGCCAAACTTGCCGACCGTGGGGGTCCGTGCGCCAGACCTGCGGATCTGGGGGGGTGCCCCCCTCGAAGCAAACGCGTTCAGCCGATGCCACGTGCTCTGACGTGGCGACGGAGCGCGCAGGTTCCGGTGGAGACGGGGCCCGCCGCTGACGCACGCGCCTCAGCCCCCTGCGGGAAGGCTCCGGGCTGCGCGCGGACAGCCGCCCCCCCAGGTCCCAGCTGGCCTCGGCAGGCCTTCCCCCCGAGCAGTCCCAGCTGGCCCGTCGAGGCCCGCTCGGCCTGCTCGCGGGGCCTGCGGAGGCCAGCCGGGGCTACCTTGAAGGGCTGTCTGCGCGCACCCCGAGGCCTTCCCCGCCCCTCCCCGCGTCCCCCTCCAGCCGCACCGTCGAGGCCAGCGCGCTGCCGCTTCGCGCGAGCAGGCGTCGGAGACGGCTCTCCCCGCCCTCCCCCTCCCCACTGGGCCTGCCGCCGCAGGTCCGCACCGGGGAGGGCAGGGCGCACACTCGCTGTCCCGTCTTCCCTCCCACGCCCTCCCCCCCTGCTCCCTCCCCTCAGCTTTCCCCCTCTTGCCACCCTCCCTGCCCCCGTGCTCTTTCCTTCCCATCACTCCTCCCCTCGCTCCCCAGTCTGCCCCTGCCACTCATCGTCGTCGTCGTCGTCCTCCTCCTCATTCTCTTCCTCCTCCTCCTCCTCCTCCTCCTCCTCTTCCTCTTGCTCCCCCCTCTCCTCCTCCCCCTCCTCCTCCTCCTCCTCCTCCTCCTTCTCCTCCTTCTTCGTATTGTCGTCGTCGCCTTTCTCCTGCTCCTGCTTCCACTCCTCTTTCTCCTGCTCTTCCTCATGCTCTCTCACGGCGGACAGCTCAAACCTTCTCCTTCTCCGCCTCCTCCTCCTCCTCCTCCTCCTCCTCCTCCTCCGACTCTCCTCCTCCTCCTCCTCCTCCTCCTCCTCCCCTTCCACGTCCACTTCTCCTCCTCTCCTCCTTCGTCCTTCTCGTCCTCCTTCTCCTCTTCCCTCATTCCTCCCTTTCTTTCTCCCACTCCTCCTCCTTATCCTCCCCCCGACTCTCCGTTTCCTCCCCTCCCCCACTCCCCCACTCATCTTCCTCCCTCCTCCTCCTCCTCCTCCCCCTCCTCCTTTCCTCCTCCTCCTCCTCCTCCTCCGCCTGCTCCTGCTCCTGCTCCTGCTGCTGCTCCTCCTCCTCTTCCTCCTCCTCCTCCTCCTCCGACTGCTCCTCCGCCTTCTCCTCTTCCTCCTCCTCCTCCTCCTCCTCCTTTTCCTCCTCTCCTCGCCTATTCCTTTCTCCCATCTCCCTCCTCCCTGCCCTTCGTCCTGGGTTCCCTCCAACCCCGTCCCCCCACCTCCCCCCAGCCCCAGAGAGCAACATCAGGTGCGCCGTGGCAGGCCACAAGAGGCCACGGCGATCGGCAAGGGTGGGTGCTTCGGCCCCGGCAGCGGGCGCCAGCCAATACGCCTGCGCCGAGTCCTGGCCAGGCCTGCTTCGGGGCCACAGATCGGTGGGGGCGCGCTCCCCATGGCTTGGCCAGGAGGGCATGCACCGACCGATCATCGAGGGGGAGCGACAAGGGGGAGACTAGCTCGGCGGGGGGGGACACTTGCCTGGAATCGGCGATGCATCGCCGATGGACTGCCGATGTGCCCTCGATGGTGACACCGCGCGTTCCTGGGCAGGTTTGGGGCACCCAGGCCCCGACTGGTGACGAGTGGGCGACTGGGTGTTGATGCCCCCCCCCCTGGGCCAGTCCCCCCTCGTCGTTGCCCCTGAAGCATGCCTCCCTCCTCCTCCTCCTCCTCCTCCTCCTCCTCCTCCTCCTCCTCCGCCTCCTGATCCAGGAGGACAGGCGCCGATTCTGGCTCGGCCAGGCCCAGGCGTCGCAGCCCAGGACTCGCCCCCGCCCCCCCCCCGGGCAGGGATCGGCGTGCAGGCGCACAGCGGGCGCCCTCCGAGCGAGGCGTGCGAGTCCTCGAAACGTGTCAGGCTGCCGCGTGCGCCGAGCGCTGTAAGGGGCGCGGTGAGCGACCGCTTGGGGTCGAGGAGGCGGCAGGGCCTGCGGCTCCGCGCAGGCAGCCCTCCCCCAAGCCACCTCACACTCGGGTGTTTCTAGAAGTGCCCCTGGCCCAAGGTGCCGCCAAGACTTCCCAAGGAGACGCCCACGGCCCCCAGAGCGCCCCTCACGAGGCTCAGAGGGTCCCAGGGGCTCCAAACTTGAGCAAACAGCTGGGGGCACCTTGGGCCAGGGGCACCTTTAGCATCCCCCCCCTCCCAAGGCAATCCATACTGGCTCCAACAGGCGCCCTCAGGGTGTGGCGGGCTCGCGCCGCGATGCCGTCGGCGCTGGCTGTCTAACGCCGCGCGGCTCGTCCAGCCTGGAACCATCGCGGCTCTCCAACGTTCGATGCTGGCCGATCCTGGGCTACTGGCGGCGTTCAGCCTTGAAAGTCCGCGCCAGAGTCGCCGCCGCTTCAGCGCGGCGCGCGTCGCGAACCCACCGCAGACTGGGGCGGTCTCAGCACCCTTCGCGCCGCCTCCGACGGCATCCCCACAGCTGGTGCCGAGGCCGACCCCGAGCTGCTCCTCGGGCGAGCGGCCAAGCCGCTCCCTTCCGCGGCGGCCCCCTTCCGTGAGCGGACGGCCCCCTCGCCGCCCCTACGGAGAAGCGTGTGAGAGGATCTCATCGAGCTCTGTCTCCCCAGGCTGCGCCAGAGTTTGCAGCCTGGCGTCTGGTCTCGCGTGATCAGCGCGCTGGGCCTGGGCCAACACAGGCCACGGGGAGAGCACTTCAGCGAGCCTCTTCAACTCCTGCATGGCCCTTTCGCTGTCGACTAGACAGGGGCCCAGGGGCACACACGCACACACACACACACACGCACACACAACACACACACACACAACACACAGCACACACTTTGGGCGTCGGCGGCTAGGCAGAGTGACTGCGCTGGCGGAATACACACAAAAACTACACACAGCACAACCACAACACACACAACACACAACACACACCACACACAACACACACACACACACGTACACACACGTACACACAAACACACACAAACACACACAAACACAACCACAAGCACAACCACACACAAGCACACGCACAATCACAGACACACACAACTATAACCACAACCACAACCACAACCACAAACACACACAAAGACAACGACACCACAAACACAAACACAACACACACACAAACAACACAACAGACACAACCACAACCACAACCACAACCATAAACACAAACACACACACAAACACGAACACAAACACACAAACACAAACACACACTCATATACACAGACACGCACGCACGCACGCACGCACGCACCACGCACGCACCCTCACACGCACACATACCGCACATACCCACACACACACACGCACACACATACGCACGCACACACACCACATAATCACGTACACACAAACACACACAAGCACACACCACACACATCACACACGCACCCACGTACGCACGCACACACAAACATAAAGCACACAACACACACACACCACACACACCATACACCACACACCACACAGCATACGCAACACAGCACACAACGCATACCACATACCACACAACACACACCACGCACCACGCAACAACACACAACACACACCACACACACCAACTGACACACCACACCACTCGCATACACATAACCCCACACACTCACACACACCAACACACACAGACACACAAACACAGTAACCCGCGCACACACACCATGCATCACACACACACACCACACACCACACACATAACACACACACACCACGCACACACCACGCACACAATCACACACGGACGCACATACACACGCACACACACAAACACACACACACACACGCACACACGCGCACACACACACGCGCGCACACACGCACACACATACGCACCACACACACCACACATCACACACCATACACACACACCACACACACGCACCACGTACACACAGCGCACAACACCCACACGCACACACATCTACACACAACCACAGCACACAATACACACGCACCCACGCACGACCGCATCACACAGCACACAATACACACCACAAACACACAGGACATAGAACACACAGACAACACGCACCACACATCACACATAACACATGCCACGCAACACACAATACACAAGCCACAACACACACCAAACACCACAAACCACACACCACACCGAGACACACACAGACGCTCGCATATACACAACCATACACCAACAAACACATAACCACACACAGCCCACACACACCACATACACCACACACACATGACACACACCACACACATCACGCACACATTCACACACACACGCACGCACACGCACACACACAAGCAGGGGCACACACACACACACGCACACACACACGCACACACATACACACCACACACAAACCATACAGCATACCACACACAGCACACCACGTACACACAACACACAACACACAAGCACACACAACTACACACAAACACTCACACACACAACACACAGCACACACGCACCCACGCACGCACGCAACACATAACACACAGCACAAACCACATAGCACAAGACACATCACACATACCACATAACACAGGACATATAGCACACATACAAAGCACACCGCACAGCACACACACCACACAACTCACACAAACGCAAATCGACATGCACTCCAGGAATCTATACATGTCCAATCGTTCCTGGATGTTCCCCTTCCCCTCCGCCCCCCAGGTTTCCCCATAGTTTTCACGACAAGCCCATCCTTCTGCCCTGGGACTGAAGAAGCCGCGCACAAAGGGTCGGCTTGCAAGAGGGCGGCCAGGCCGCCCACGGGATGTCCCCGACATCCGCCGACCTGGTTTTCTCATCCCCCTCCACCTCCCCCATCCTCCCCCTGGGCACTGCTATTCCTCCTCCTCCTTTTCCTACTCCTTCTCGCTCTCCTCATCCTCCTCCTTCTCCTCCTGCTCCTCCTCCTCTTCCTCCTCCTCCTGCTCCCCCTCCTCCTTCTCCTCCTCCTCCTATGCGCTACCTCTTCCCTCCTTCTCCTATCCCTCCTCCTCCGCCGACGTACCCCCGACATCCGCGGCACCAAAGGTCCCGACCGCTTCCCTGGGGAACATTTTTGCCAAAGGACGAACAAACGGCATCCGCCACCGTGCCCCCTGCACGTTGAGGCGTGCTGGAATGCCAAGTGCTGTCTGGTAGGGTTTCTGTAATCTTCTAAAGACCCCCCCCCCCATCTGGGCCGCGTAGAGTCTCGTGCATCGGCCATGCTCCCGGGGGGGGTCCCTAGGCGGCCCAGGAGGCCCCCAAGACGGTCCAAGAGGGCCCCGAATCGCCGAACGATCGCTCGAAGACGCTCAAGATGGCCTCAAGATGGCGCCAGAGGCTTCCAAGGGGGCCCAGAGGCCTCCAAGGTCTCCCAAGATGGCCCACAAAAACATCATTTTTTTGTTTTTTAATATTATTTTTTAAAGTAAAAAAGCACAAAACATTTTTGGCGTTCTCGTCTTTTCGGCTTTCCGACGCTCCAAGACGGCCCGTGAGGCCCCCAAGACCACCCCAAAGCGGCCGAAGAGGCCTCTAAGAGGGCCCCAAGACAGCCTAAAAGTATCTCAAGACGGCCCAAGAGGCGTCCAAGACGGCCCAAGAGGGCTCCAAGACGGTCCAAAAGGGACCCTGGAGAGGGAACACGAAGCGAAAATCCGAGCCTTCCGCCCCAAGGGGTCCACAGGATGCCCCAAGAGGCGCCCCAGAGGCCCCACGAGGCCCCCATGTGGCGCCCAAGAGGCCCCAAGAGGCCCCCAAGAAGCCCCCAAGAGGCTCCAAATCGGCTCCCAAGAGGCATCAAAACTGCTTCCAAGAGGCTCCCGAGAGGCCTCCCACGAGATTCCAACGAGCATCCACTGGCACAGCGCAGGCACGGTGGCGGAACTTTCCGTAGGCAGCTGGTGAACAGAAACTTTTGGAGCTCTGCCGGATTCTCGGCCGAACTCCCGCCCGGCCCACACCAGCTCAAGCTCGATCCCCAGACCCCTCCCTGCGACCCAGCCGTGGCGATGAGAAGCCTCCAGGACTCCCCGAAGAGGACGACAAGCACAAGGTTTAGGTCGGGCCTGTCCCCCTTACAGGGGGATTTTGGACTACAAATCAATAATAATCGAAACATATTCGAACATGCTCAATAAAACACATCGTCCCCAGACTATTTTCCTACTGTTATTGAACAGTCCCCCTGTAGAGGGACAAGCCCGACTTGACACACGGGAGGGCCCCCGCGGTCGTCTTGACTGGCCCTCCTCCGAACATCGAGCCCGACAGGCCCGGCTCGAGCAGCACCGCACCGTCGGAGAGCTGGGTGCCCAGAGGTTGGGCGTGGCTTAATGGGGGGGTCACAAATGGGGGGGTCAGAAAAGGTCCCCTTTCGTGCCCTCTTCGGGCCCCTCCAGAGCCCCAGGGGGCTCGTTTAGGTACCATTAGGGTACCTTTTCGGACCACACTCGCCGCCCCCCCATTTACGATCCCCCCATTACGCAGCGCCCAAAGAGGCCCCCATGGATGGGGTCCGGGTGGACGGGGTCGGAGGATCGCGCCGCATCGCCGTTGCATCGGCGACGTCGGCGATGCATGGGCGCCGCCGGCGTGGAGGAAATCGGGCTCCACATCGAGCCGCATCGCCAATGCATCGGCGACGTCGGCGATGCATTGGCGCCGTCGGCGTGGAGGAAATCGGGCTCCACATCGAGCCGCATCGGCAATGCATCGGCGACGTGGCGCGATCCTCCGACTCCATCTCGGCGGCGAGCGAGGGGGGGAAATGAGAAGAAGCAGGCCTTCTCAGAAGGCTGGGGGACCTTCTCAGAAGTGCTCGCGCCTCCTGAAACAAGCCTTCTGTGCATCCGGGGAGAGCTCAGGTCACTTCTCAGAAGGCCGGGGGGACTTCCGCTCGGAGCCTTCTGAGAAGGCCCGCCCCTCCTCCCTTCCCCCCCCGCGGCTCGCCGCCGATCATTGGGCGCCGCGTAATGGGGGGGTCATGAATGGGGGGGGGGGGGGGCGAGAGCGTGGTCCGAACAAGGTACCCAAACGGCACCCATACGAGCCCCCTGGGGCTCTGGAGGGGCCCGACAGGGGCACGAGAGGGGACCTTCTCTGACCCCCCCAGTTGTGACCCCCCCCATTAAGCCACGCCCAAGACCATGTGCCCCGACCCCATCCGGGAGGCCTGAAGCCCTGGGGGCCCCACGGGGCCGAGCCCCTGCCCGCCTCCGAGTGCCGCCCGCGCGCAGCCGCGGGCCTCGCCGCCGGCCAGGGCCTCCGCGGCCGCCGGAGGGCCCGAGCAGTGGAAAACTAAAAGCACGACAGGCCTCGCCCCGCCAGCGGGGCTGCGCTGTCCGAAGCGCGCGTGAGCTGATGGAGATGTGCCTCCTCCTGCTCCTCCTGCTCCTCCTCCTGTTGCTCCTCCTCCTCCTCCGCCTCCTGCTCCTGCTCTACCTTCTCCTCCTCCTCCTCCTCCTCCTCCTCCTTCTGCTGCCCCCATCCTCCTAATCCTCGCATCTTCCCCTTTTCCCATCTTCACCTTCTCCCCCTCTGCCCTTCTCCCTCCTCCACCTCCACCACACCGCCACCGCCACCGCCTCCTCCCCTTCCTCCTCCTCCTCCTCCTCCTCCTCCTCTTCGTCTCCCTCCTCCACGTCCACTAGCTTCACCATCGCCTCCTCCCTTTCCTTCTTCTGTTGCTGCTGCTGCTGTTGCTGCTCTTCTTCCTCCTCCTTCTCCTTTTCCTCCTCCTCTTCCTTGTGTGCATTGTCCAATGTTGATGGCGCGAGGTGTAATGTTTGAGCTCGCCGGGAGTATCGAAACACCTGGTTGTGGCATCAGGGAAGGTTCCATGCGGAGGTGCGTGGATTGTTGCTTGAAGGTGTGCTGGCTTTCCTTCTCGTTTGGATTCGCCCGTGCACATGCCAACTTTGTCTGTTGATTAGCATGTGTACCAGCTCGGAGAGGAACTCAGATCGCAGTCAGGTGTGTGTGTGTGCGTGAAAGTGAGAGGGAATTGCAGCAGCAAGGAATTCTCGGAAGTCGTCGAGTGGCATGGTGTCGTTGTGTGCTGCTGTCAACGCCGCAGAAGTGACGCGTAGAAACCGAGTGTGTCAACGATGACCAGCGCTCTTACCTCCTCCCTTTCTACCTCCCTGTAATCATCCTACCCTGTCTTCTGCTCCCTGTAATCATCCTGTAATCATCTTGTACCCTCCCTTTCTATCTCCCTGTAATCCTGCTCCCCTTCTACCTCCCTGTTCTTCTCCTCCCGTTCTGTCCCTGTAATCATCCTGCCTTTCTTCCCTCCCCCGCCTCCCTCCCCTCCCCTCCCCTGCCGCCTCGAGCAGTCCTCCATCCCCTCACCTCCCTCCCCTCCTCTCGGCTTCTCCAGCTTTCCTTCTCTATCACCACTTCCATTTCTTCTCCTTGTCGTCCTCCTTCTCTTCTCCTCCCTCCCTCCCTCCCTCACTCCCTCCCTGTATATTCTCCCCATTATCCAGCGCCACTCCTTTCTCCTCCTCATGGCACCTTTTTCTTCGCTGCCGTGGTAATGGCCACTCCTTTCTTCGCTGCCGTGGTAATGGCGGTCGTGCTGCATGGTGCCGCGGTGGTGGTGGGAGCTGTGGGCCTCACTGATGTATGGCGCCAAGCACCACCTCTGCGCTGCCGCGTGGGAGCTGTCGGTAGAGCTGCCGCCGCTCCCTGCCGAGCACGTCGCCCCGGGCCACTTCATCGACGCCGTGCCCCAAAGCTCGGATGAACTCTGCGGCTTCGTCGGACGGGCGGCCCCATGTCTCGAAGACCACACATGCAAAAGTCAACCCCGCTGGCGGGGCACGTTCGCTTTGACCCCGGACCGTGGCTGCTGCGGCCACGCCGTGGTTGTTGGGCCGGGTTTGCCCGCGAACGACGTGCTCTGAGCATTCTCAAGTATATAATGCTCCAGTCAACATAGAGGGACGAACTGCCCCGTGGCCGCGGCGAAGCCAGTGAGGGTGGTGTGCAGCTGCGCGTGCCAACCCCGCATGCGGTCGTGGCGGGCGGTGCGGGACCGTTCAACTACGCAACGCTTCGCGTGCTACCCGTAACCGTCCAATGGCGTGCCGCAGACGGCACTGTCGTCGCGCCAGTGCTGGTACGCGGCGCCCTGCGGGCAGACACAGCACAGGAGACGAGGTTTCGTGGCGGTGAGGCAGTGCTTGTCGGGATGGCTGGGTCGCCCGTCCTCCTCGCAAGTCAAAAGCGAACCACCGGCCCCCGTCCCGCCGGCGCCCTGGAACGGCAGGCGGTCGTCCTTCCCGAGCGCTTCGAGAAGCTTGACTCTGGTGGTCGCGGAGCGCGCCTCCCCTTTCCTGCATTGCATCTTGGGGACGGGCTCTTGGAAGCAGGCCAGGACATCGAAGTCGCAGCTCACTGCTCCCTCGGCGCGGACCTCGGCGTCCGGTTTCAGGCGTGCCTGGTGAGTCAGGGGGGCACTGCGCTCAGAACTCCTCCCAGCTCTGGAAGCCCGCGGCTTGCGCAACCTCCTTCAGTATGGGGGCAAGGATCTCCTGCCATCCTCGAGGCGCACGGTGGCCGGTGCGCGCTGCACGGGGTCCGGCGGGGTCCGGACAAGCTACTCCACGCAGCCAGTGACCAAGTGGTCGAATTGGTCCACCCAAGGGAGGTCGCGATTGGCTCGCAAATGGTGCGCCACTGCGCCCTGGGATACGTTCGCAGGGGCGTGAAAACTGCCTGGGCCGAGAGCCCCGCCGCACGCGGCGCTCGGAGCTGCCCCGCGAACGCGACGGCTTTGGCCACCGCGGAGGCGCCGTCGGTTCCTCCGCGTGGGCACGGGCACCGCACCTCCGCCTGGGCCCACCACGGCGCTGCGTTGCCGAAGCACTTCGTGTGTGGCACGCGGCGGGTGGCCAGCGCCGGGGGGAGGCCCGAGCCCTCCTGGCTGACCTGCAGCCCCTGCCCGGAGAGCGCCTCGACAACGATCAACGCTCGCCGCCGCCGCGTGCCCAGGCGGGGTGAAGATCCCCACGCCGTTGAAGTGGCTGAAGGTCTTGCAGGCGGGCGAGGGCCTCTGCAGCGCGGTGTGCATCTTGTCCAGGGCGTCGGTGGTAGCGACGGCGAACGGCCCTGGGGGGACAGAGGGCGGCTCTGGTCAACCTCGCGGGTCGCCCGCACCGTGACGGCTCCGCCGGCGTCGTTCCAGGACAGGTGAATCAGGTTCTGCCTCGCGAGGCCGTTGCCGTTGGGCGGAGGTCTGGGGCGCGCGCGGCCACGCTGTCCAGAACTCGTTGCCGGGGCATCGTGCTGAAGGAGTCCGTGGCGTCGAATGCCAGTCTCGTTCTGCTTCCTCTCCGCCAAGGGCACGAGAATCTTGTGGACCAGCTCGCGCCCAGCCCGCCGGCCCACGGCGTCCTGGAACCGCCCGCAACCAGCCTGGACGCCGTCCGCAAAAAAAGCCATGCAGGCCGCACGCCTAGCCAAGCGCCGCACGACCCCGCCGCAAGCGGCTGGGCGGATGCCGCCGTTTGGTCTGCGCAGGGCCACGGGCCGTGCTCGCGGTGCGCTCCCGCTGCTCCTGTGCTGAGCGGCCCGTGGAGACAGAGGACGGCGACTTTCACGGAAGCCTCGGGTGTAGGCGTATCACAAAGCAGCGCGCGCCAGCGTTCAAAGCGAAGCGAGAGCCGCTGGGCCCAGGGCCAGATCGCTGGGGCGCGCTACGGACGTGCCCCACGACCGCGCCCCTCGTCCTCCTCCTGCTCGTCCTCCTTCTCCCCCTCCGCTTCTCCTCCTACTTCTCCTCCTCCTCCTCCTCGTCTTTTCCCATGCTTCCCTTTATAACTGCCCCCTGTCGCACCACTTGAAATACCACTGGGCTGGACCAAGCGTTTCGCTTGAGACATCTGTACGTTCTACCATTCTGAAGCTAATCGCACCGAACAGTTACAAGGATTAAAGGCAAATGACTTCTCATAGTGCGGCTCTCGCTATAATTAGCGCCGTGCGCATTCGTCATAACTTGCTTCCAACAATCAAAAGGATGCCGGCTGATTCGTTTCAAACCTGCGGCGTGGAACAGTTACACGGATGGAGGGCGGCTTCTTTTCAAACAGGGGCTTTTGCCTTAGCGCCGCGCGCACTTATATTAAAACGATCAAGCAGTTGCACGGATGGAGCGGGGACGTCAAGTGCGGTTCTCGCCTCAGCACCGCGCTCTTTCGTTTCTGGTTTCCAGCAGTTGCAAGGATGGAGGTCGGTTCGTGCTAAGCATGCGGTTCTCGCTCGAGACTCCTTCACAATCGATGCCCCGAAGTTCAAACTTGTTCCACAGTTGCAATGCAGGAGGGCGGATCCTTTACAAACTGAAGCTCTCGTCTGAGGTCTCTGCAACGTGTACAGCCATGACTCTGAAACGTTGCAACTCTTGCGCGCATGGAGGGGGGTCCTTGTCAAAATGGGGCTATCGCTGAATACGTCCCTGAACTTTATTACCAAACCTCTTAGTGCTTGATTCAGCTATGGTGATGCAGGTGGGTCCTTGACAAAACGGGCTGGTCTGGCCTGGGTGGCAATCCCACACGCGCTCTTTAATCCAATGGGGTGCTCCCCGTTGCGGGTTGTCGGGGCATCTGAGGAGGGGACTTGGCACGGGAGGGTGCGTTGCAACATCGTCGATGCATCTTGGCTTTACTCTGGTCCTCCTCCTGCTCCACCTCCCCATCCTCCCCATCCTCCCGTCCTTTTCCTCCTCGTTCTCCGCCTCCCCTTCTAAAAGAAACCCTCCGTAAGACCCCGTAGCCCCTCACAACCAATGTCTTCCGGGTCAGCCCGATAACGTGCAAGAGGAGGGGCTGGAGGAGGAGTGCGAGGTGGAGCGACGAGGAGGAGGAGGAGGAGGAGGAGGAGGAGGAGGAGGAGGAGGAGGAGGAGGAGGAGGAGGAGGAGGAGAGGAGAGGGAGGAGGAGGAGAGGAGGAGGAGGAGGAGGAGGAGGAGGAGGAGGAGGAGGAGGAGGAGGAGGAGACGACGAGAGGAGGAACAGAAGGAGAGGAGGAGGAGGAGGCGGACCGCGTCCTCGCTAAGACTCTGTGGCGAACCCAGCCGTGGCGAGGAGGGCCTCGCCGGGAGGCGCCAGTAGGCAAATATCGTCAACACTCTCATCCTCGCTCCTCCTCGATCCTCCCCCTCCCCCCCTCCCTATCCTCCTCCCCATCCTCCGCCTTCTCCTCCTCCTCCTCCTCCTCCTCCTCCCCCTCCTCCTCTTCCTCCTCCTCCTCCCCCCTCCCTCATTCTCCTCCTCCTCCTCCTCCAACTCCTGGTGCTCCTCTTCCTTCTCCTCCTCTTCATTCGTCTTCTTCTTCTCTTCTTTTTCTCGCCTCCTCCTTCTACTCTGCGGGCCTTGGGGCAAGCCTCGACCCGCTCTTGGGTGGCAAGTCCTCGCTACGGATACGCGCATTTGGATGGTCCGGGGCCCTGAAAACGGTCCCTGCAAGCGGAGGTCCGGGAACGAGTCGGGCTTGAAAGAACAATCAATCCGCTGGAGGTCTGTGGAACGAACCCCGTCATCACGCGAGAAGTGCTCACTGCACACTCGGCCTCGCCGCAGGGTGCGCCGCTCGAAGGCCTCGCATTGGTCTGGCGTAGACGGCGAGATTGACCGCGGCTGCGGTGGGCATTGGCGGCGCGCACTAGGGCGGCAGGGTGAGTAGGCGGCGGGTGAGGGGGGGAAGTGAGATGGGGCGGGCCTTCTCAGAAGGCTCGGAAGTCCCCGGGCCTTCCGAGAAGTTTCCTAAGCCTTCCCCGAAGACAGACGAAAACTTCTCAGAAGGCGCGAGGGCTTCTGAGAAGCCCCGCCGCCTTCTGAGAGGGCCTTCTCCCTCTCATCTCCCCCCCTCGCTCGTTGCCGAGGGAGGGAGGGAGGGAGGAGGGAGCATCGGGGCGGACGTAAAAGGCGGCCATCACAAAGGGGGGGGTGCGAGTCAGCTTGCGCAGCTGGCTCCCCTGGCGCCTTCCAGTGCGCCACATGCATCGAGGAAAGGCGCCCGGCAGTTGGGCCGAAGCCGACAGTGGCTTGCTCGGCGAACCTGCGAAGACTGCGCCTGCTGCCTGGTCGATCCATGACCCGTGCGCGCTTTTGTTCGTGGGCTCGACGAGCGAGTCAATATCGGCGGTGGACAAACCCCCCTTTAGTAGGCCTTCCCCTAATGAAAACGGCCTGGGGCCGAAACCGACGGACCTGGACCCGCAAGAAGGACGGCCGCGACGCCCTCTCGCGGACCGAAAACGGACACTTCCCCAATCGACGTGTCGGGGTAGGAGGTCCATCCGCCTCCGACAATATATTGGGGCAACTCCATTCCTTGGTCGGCCCCCTGGCTTGGGAACCCCCAAACCGGGTGGTGAGATACCAGGTGGCGACCTGGAATCCCCAAAAAGGTCACCGCTGGGTTTGGGGACGCGGGGTCACCACCGGGTTTTGTGACTCCTGGACCCACCAGTGTCCGGAACATCCTCGGAAAACCGCACGAGTCCCCGAACCGGGTGGTGACACCAAATCGCCCGAGACTCACCGCCAGATGTTGTCACCACCACGTTTGGGGACTACCAACTGGCCCGGGAGGTCGGCCCCCCCTCCCGTGGGCTCGTGGGGGTGGTGGTCCTCCGGGAGCCTCGGGACGGCCCAGGGAGCGGGGCGGAAGGGCCCGGGCCTCCGAGGCGCCGTCCCGGCGCGCCTCCTCGACGGCGGCCTCCGGGGCCCGGGGGCAGGGGTCGGGCGTGGCTTAACGGGGGGGTCACAAATGGGGGGGTCAGAAAAGGTCCCCTTTCGTGCCCCTTCAGGCCCCTCCAGAGCCCCAGGGGGCTCGTTTAGGTACCATTTGGGTACCTTTTCGGACCACACTCGCCGCCCCCCCATTTATGATCCCCCCATTACGTGACGCCCAAAGGGGGCACCGGGCGTGGGGTCTGGGGCGGAGCATACCTGCACTCGAAACTCAGGCCGAGAACCCCTCCAGCAGGACAGCGAGCTCCAGCGTCGCGCGACCGTCTCAGCCTGCCTGCGAGAGCCAGCTCTGAAGCGTGCAGTTTCTGAGCGCAGCGCGGCGCCAGAGTGAAACATCATACCCAGGAGGTCTGGGGAAGGAGCGGGCAGGAAGGACGAGAGGAGGGGGGGGTGACGCGGCGCATGCCTCCGTGCGTGCGGAATTCCCGCCACCCCAGCAGCAAGAGCCGAGGACCGACCGTTTTTGCGGATCTTCTGCCAGGGCCCGATTGGTATCACAACTGCTGGTAGCGTTTTTCTGTTTCCCGTTTCCGACTTGTCGGTTTTCGGCCAACTCAAAAGAACCGCACATCAAACAATGAAACAAACGGAAATACAAAACGGAACCAAACCGACAATGGCGCGAACGATAATCCCAAAACGGACAAAAAACTTGCCCCAAACTGGAAAATACTGTTGATCTTGAAAAACGTCGATTTTGAACACGCACCATCTAAGCCCAAAGAGGGCCTGATTTGGATGTCCCAGGGCCCCTGGAACCGAAGCTTTTCGAGTGTGGCTGGCCATGGAGGACGGTTAAGGATGGACCGAAGAGGCAATCATGCAAGGGTATCCTTGGGAAGGTGACTTATTCCTATCATCGATTTCGATTGTGTTTTTGGCCCCGAAGCCCGGAAGTGGGCTCCGGAGGCCCAAACTCAGAAGACTCTGACCTTGTGATTCTCTTCGGGACGCTGAATGTCTGGGCTCGCGTGGACAGGCGATCGCGGCTTCAGATGAGCGACGAGGAAGAGTGGACGCTAATTACGCTTGACGAGGCGGACCTTACGCGATGGATAGCGCAAGCCGCTGGCGTGGCACCGCGCGCAGAAACGAGGGCGCTTCTGGCGCGACCTTGCGCGGGCAGCTTGCGCGAGCGTTCGCGAAGCCGACCCCGCTTCTCCACGCCGTTCGAGTTCGATGGCTTCCCATGGAAGCCTCCCGTACCATCTTGTTGGCTCTTGACAATCGACGCTGCACGCAGGCTGGTCGACGCTAGCCGAGGCTAAATCGGCGCTGTCTCATTGATTACCAATCGCTAGTCGACGCCAGTGCGCTCGATAGACGGAATTGCGAGGGTATACAATAGGAGCTCGACCACGAGCAACCTTCCACAAGAAACCCAACCCCGAGACCCCAGGACGTCCATGGATTTTTGGCGTGGGACGTGGGAACGCTACGCCCTCAGTAGCAACACTATCGAAACCCATGGAACCCAGGGCACCCTGGAGGCAAGCAGGGTGCTTCTTGGCATGGGTTTCTACTGTCAGAAAAAGAACAAGCGCCATAAACAACAACTTTTGGCGGTCGGCGCAGATTTCTTGGATCCGCGCTGGACCCCCCTCCCTGGCGCGCGGACCGCGCCAGGGGCAGCGCTGGAGGCGCCGCCGGGGGGGGGGCCCAGCGCCGAAGAAATTCGCGCGGAGAGCCAAAAGCTTATGATCACGCCGTCTTTTCTCCTTGGATTCTTGATTCTGGGCATGGGTTTCCACTTTACGAGGCTCCCGTGCTTTGCTGCCGAGCTCGCGTCTGCCGCGCGGGACATGCTGGCCGAAGAGCGACGCAGCGAGGCAAAACAGTGCCACGTGGCCGCCGCGCGGCCGCGCCTGCCGCCCGAGGGCGGCGCTCGGGAACTGCTCGTGGCTCTCAGCCGGCGTCCTCACCAGGGCGACCCGGCGAGCAGCCCCACCCCGGGAGCGTGTTCGGCAGAACCATGAGGGGTACCAATAGCGTAGGTGTATCGAATCCGGGTGGGGTGGGGCGACCGAAACACATGTGCTCATCAACCGACATGACGCCCATGTAAGTGATCTGATGCGGCCCTCTCGCACGCCCATGTCTACATCCATCTCGCTTTATCTTCGGAAACGGAGGACCGAAGGACGAGGATCGACGAACAAGGCCTCTCCACACAGTGTGGAGAGGCTTCCAGGGAGGTCTGCGGGGAATACGACGAAGCAAGGACGAGCATCAATTCGGGTAAGGATAAAAGTCGAACATCTCTGAGGTCTGGCGGTTCTGGAGGATGTCTCGGGCGCCGCGGCCTTCTCAAAACGTTCTCGAACGCTGGGAGTGTTCCGGAACGCTCTGGAACGGATTTATCCTCGCCCTAGCCCCGTTCGAGGGAATGAAGAGGGACAAGCAGGTATGCGCCGAAGGCGCCTACACACCTCCACCATAATCCTGGAATCGGGAAATCCAAAACCGATGGAACATGTGCACCTGCCTTCTGCGGAAAGCAGGAAAGCAGGCAGGCACCCGCTGGCGTGAAAGGGACCAAACCAAGCGTGTGGCCAAGGTGGGAAGCACCGATGTTTCTGCTTTATGGTTGTGCTCGCCGGACATCCGAGGTCACGATTTTTTCGAGCCGTGGACCCCTGGACCCCTTGGCTGTTTCACATCCTGAATGCTTTTTCTTCGGGGGCCCCAGGGCCCAATATAACGGCTTCTGGACGCCGAACCATTGCAAAACATATGCGCGGAACGGTGTTCGCAAGTCGCAAAATGCCTGCGTCCTCGCGGAAGTCACTTCCAAACAGCACGAGGCACCTGTCTTAGCAGTGCGGCCAGCCATTAACGGGGAGGAGGGAGAAAGGGATGTGCCCGACCACTTTGTTTCTCTGGAGCGGGGATGGGTTGCAAACAGCTGGTCAAGTTCTACTACTTAAGACGGGTCACGATCAGAGTTGTGTGCCAGCGTGAACTAGGCTGAGAGTCCTAATGTGATATGGGCGAAGCAAACCACTGAACAACCAATGTCAGACGCATACAATACAAAAACACGTCACAATAAACAGCTGATGTGTGGCTGACCACGATCATCTCCAGGCCATCTCCACCTCCCCCTACCTTCTTCCTCCTCCTCCTGGTGCTAGTGTCGCTGCTGCTGCTCCTCCTCCTCCTCCTCCTCCTGAGGTTCTGGTCGCTGGCACGGGAGGAGCAGGGGAATCCAAGCGATGTTGTGGGGTTTGTTGTATGGAAGCCAAGCGGTCAGAATACACAAGGCTCTGGCGTCTTTGTGATGAGACGCCGAGGGGCTATGACCTCACTCAGAGTGGTCAGGCTCAACGCACCTTATCTAAGGAAGCGTGGACGGGGGGGCGAACAGGGGCACAAACGTGCGAGCCCCGATCTTCAGCGCCCTAGAAGGATCAAGACTGCAACTTTTGGTGACATTTTTGGGACCCCAAGGCTCTGCATCGTGAAACAAACGCGACGTCGCAGATCTGGCTACTGATATTTTTGGGGTGACGGTGCTGGCGATTGTGGTGGAGGCTGTGGCGGTGACAGGGTACGGCGTATACGCTAAGCACTCGGTTGTGAAGATGAAGTCGGCACAACACATGTTCTAATTTTATGCTTTTCTGACGCTCGCCTTGCTTCGTGGCGGGTAGCAGGCCGTGGGCTGCCGTCGAGTTGCCCCCGCGTGTTCAACCAAACCCAACGGCGATGGCGACACACAAAATGCTATTCCAATTCATGACCCCCCTTCTGCCACCCGCCCCCGCCAAGCGCCCGCGGAAATCACACCCCAGATGATCCAGCCACACCCACGCCGCTGCAGGACGACCAAGTCCTCCCCCCCTACGCCTGTCAACTCATCCAACATTTGCAACTGTGTTCGATGTTACTGATTGCTTGGAGCTGCCATTGTTTAACTGGCTGCTTGCATTGTGTGTGTGTGTGAGCTTGTGTGCTCGTCTCGTGCTATGTTTTGGACGCACGCACGCACGTACACATAGAAACAGGAGTCTGACAAGCACAATTGTGTGCGACGGCGAACCTCTTGCGCGCCATACGAACGCACCTGCGTGGACCTTCACATGTCTGTCGTTTACATTCAGTTGCAACATGTCATCCACTGCGCATGCAGCGCAACACGTGCGTGCCAAACCCGACTACACTTGCGAACCGAGAGCTATGCACGCGGCGCAAGACTTAGCCGCCTCGCCCATATCGGATCCTCGGAGAGACTCCTTTCAGCCCGAAAGGTGAGGCGTTTCGCGGACCCTCCGTCCTGAAAAGGTCCCACGGCCCCAGGAGCCTCTGATTTGGACGCCCGAAATGGGCACGGAAAGAATGGGTACAATGCCCAACAACAAATGTTGTCCCAAACCAACAGCGGCCGCTATTGGGCAGGCGGCCCTCTGTCTCGAATGGACACAGGCCACGGCGGCGCGGACAGCGAGTCCTATTCAAAACGAACAGGACTTGCTGTCGAGCATTGTACGCATTCTTTCCGTGCCCATTTCGTTCGTGCAGATCTGAGAGCGGAATCCGCCATCGTGCATTTCGCACGCAAGGGGGCCCTCCGAGGCTCACGCGGTTGTGAGCGGCCTGTCCCCCTGGCACGCGTCTGCCCTGCTTGGCCCGCGCTGCGGGCTCCCAGGCGCTGTCGATGGCCCCGCAATGCCACAAGGTCGACGACGACGACTTCAAGAGGGCCCAGGATAGCGACAGACGGCCCCAGGTGGCCCAACTATGGCCCCAGGAGAACCCAATACATCCCAAGAGGGCTCCAACATGATCCTCCAGAGGCCCAACTCATCGATTCCCCGCACGGTTTTTGTATGGTTGTCGCTAAGACACTCACCTTCCGGGTCTTCAGAGCGCCCAAGATGTCCCACGAGACCCTGAAGATCGCCTAAGATGGTCCAAGAGGGCCCCGATAAGGGTCCAAGATGGTCCAAGAGTGGCCCAATACAGCCCCTGCGGGCCCCAGGACGCCCCAAGAGCGCCTCTGGCGAGACTCGTGGGCGCCCTGGGAGGGGGGGGGCGGAGGGCAGACGGCCCTGAGGAGCCCAAGATGACCCCGCCCAGATGGCCCCAGGAGGCCCCCAAGAAGCCCCCCAAAAGGGCCGCCAGGGAGCCCCCCCGAGATGCCCCCCCAGACATCCCCGAGAGGGCCCTCTGGTCCACGACCAGGGGGCACGGCGGCGGGCATGGGCCCGCAGGCAACTCGATACAATAGTGCCCCAAGCCTCACCCCAGCTGCTCGGAGACGCCCCGCCACCGGCCCTCCGCGTGCATTCAGAGACGGAGCCTGCGGCATGCCGCATCCTCTACGAAATTTTGGACACAAGCCAAGACGGCTTCCCAGGAATCCCCACGAAGGGTCCTGGGAAGCCGAACGCGCAAGGCAGCCTTTTGCGTTTTGGATGCCCGATCACGGGGGCACCCCGAAGGGCCCTGGGAGGCCGAACGCACAGACCAGCCTTTGCTTCTTAGATGTCGGGTCACGGGGGCACCGCGGCGGGACGCCCAATCTCTCTGCGCACCTGCTGGAGCGAGACCAGAGCAGGAACAGTGGCAGTCCATGCTGTCCAACACGTGGCAAAGGCCTCAGAACACTGGCCCGTTGCTTCACGCGCACGCCACGCGCGCCTCGAGACGAAGCGCCACGTGCAAAATTCCGGCGCGGGCGGCCTCGCAGCCGCTTTCGTACGCCCGCCCTCCAACACTGACAGCGGCAGTGCGTACGACCACAGTTCGGTCAAGGTGTCGCCCCGGCCTGGTCCCGAACGCTGCCACTGTGCCGCGCAGTGTGCCCAGGACGATCGTGTGCCCACCGCGTATTGCACGACTGCCGAAGCGCTGCTCGCGTGGAGGGGGTCGGGCCGCTCCGCGGGTCCGTGGCCATGGCGGAGAGAGGAGGGCGGCCGGCGGGGGGCGGGGTGCGACGGCGGGACGAGCAGCGAGAGGTGGAGGGCAGACGAGGGGGGCGAGGGAGAGGGCAGGGGAGACGGGAAGGGAGGGCGGCAAGGGGGACGGGAGGGAGGGGGGGAAGCGGCGGAGGGAAGGGAGGGGGCGGGGGGAAGGGAAGCGGGTGCCAAGGCAGCCCCCGACTTCTCTTCCAATCCGCGGCCCCAGAGCTTCCGACGCCCTCCCTGGGGGCAGTGCTGCGTCCCCGATCCGTTTCTGATGGTCCTGCGGGGCTCGATATGGCCGAAACTGGGGCCAAACGCTGTCATTAGGGGAACAAGAAATGAAATAGACATAGAAACTCGGAGGTCCGCGCGGATTTCTCGGATCGGCGCTGGGGCCCCCCGGCGGCGCCTCCGGCGCCGCCCTGGCGCGCTCCGCGCGCCAGGGACAGGGAGGGGGGTCCAGCGCCGATCCGAGAAATCCGCGCGGCCCTCCGAGTTTTTATGCTCATGTCACTTCTTGTCCCCCTGGTCCTGCAGGGAATCGGATCCTCGGAGATCTGGTTGTCGGGCGAAACCTCGGCTCTCCGGGCCATCCTGGGCCCCTGGGCGCCCCCTCGGCGAGGCGCCGCTGCTGCAAAACGCACCCCCGAGGCCGGAGCACCTCCGGGAGAACCGACGAGGAGCGCCCGGCGCGGGGGTCCTTCGCCGCCCTGGGGCTCGGCAGCGGGCTGGCGAGCCCCCGGGGGCTCGGCAGCGGGCTCGCCTGCTCGCGGATGCTGTCCAGGGGCGGCCCCGATGGCCTCGCCGCCGCCGCCATGGCCGCCGCCGCCGCCGCCGTAGTCGTCGTCGTCGTCGTCGTCGTCGTCGTCGTCGTCGTCGTCGTCGTCGTCGTCGTCGTCGTCGTCGTCGTCGTCGTCGTCGTCGTCGTCGTCGTCGTCGTCGTCGTCGTCGTCGTCGTCGTCGTCGTCGTCGTCGTCGTCGCGTCGTCGTCGTCGTCGTCGTCGTCGTCGTCGTCGTCGTCGTCGTCGCCCCGTCGGTGGCGGCGGCGGCGGCGGCAGCGTCGGCGTCGGCGTCGGCGTCGGGTCGGCGTCGGCGTCGGCGTTGGCGTCGGCGTCGGCGCCGTCGTCGTCGTCGTCGTCGGCGTCGTCGTCGTCGGCGTCGTCGGCGTCGGCGTCGTCGTCGTCGTCGTCGCCGTCGTCGTCGTCGTCGTCGTCGTCGTCGTCGTCGTCGTCGTCGTCGTTCACGGGCGGCCCCGATGGCCTGCCCGCGGACGCCCCGCCGGACCAGCAGGGGTGGCGCCTCGGTGGGGGCCGCCGCCGCCATGGCCGCCGCCGCCGCCGCCGCCGCCGCCGCCGCCGTCGTCGTCGTCGTCGTCGTCGTCGTCGTCGTCGTCGTCGTCGTCGTCGTCGTCGTCGTCGTCGTCGTCGTCGTCGTCGTCGTCGTTGTCGTCGTCGTCGTCGTCGTCGTCGTCGTCGTCGTCGTCGTCGTCGTCCCGCCGTCGTCGTTGCGCTGGCAGGGGCGCTCACACAATGCGACAGATAACTAGCTCGAGCGCGCGGTGTAAGGTCGGGCACTTTTGCTTAGCGTATCGCGGCGGCGGCCCCGGCGACGCGCAGTGCTCTGCCAGCGGACAGCGTGTCGCTCCGCGCTGCGGAGCGGGCGGCTCGGGGAAGCTCGGGACGTTGACACCTGGGACTGGGGGTTTGCATAGCAGGTCTCGCCGAAGCCTGGCGGGCCAGAACGGGCAGAACGAGCCCAAATTCCGGATCGCACATGGCAACTCTTGCCCTGCGGGCTCGCTCTGGTGATGGTCCACACGCAAGACTGACCCGTGGTGCGCAGCTACAGGGGGGCGCCGGGGAGGGCCAAACCCAGGCGCGGGGGCCGATGCTGTCGCATCGCGCTCAGCGGTCGGAGGATCCCAGTGGGCCCGCACCAAGTGTTACTCCCGCGAAGGGTCACTCTTGCGTGCAGTCGAGGTGGGCCCTCGCTCCCGGCCGGCCCGAGAGCACCGTGGTGGGTGCGGAGCCCCGCCGGCCGGCGCCCGTGGAGAGCGCCGGGCGGCCAGCCTCTCGAGGAGCTGGGCCTCCCTTGTTGGGGGGGCGCACGCGTGCGAGCGGCTCCCATGCAGCGCCTCCTGGGCTCGCGCAGCCAGCTCCCAGGCAGGTCCCAGGTAGCGCTTGCTGGGCTCGTGCGCAGGTCCTTAGGCCGCTCCCAGGCCGCGCTTCCTCGGCTCTCGCGCAGCTCCTTAGTTAGCTCTGAGGCAAGCTTCGTGGTCACGTTGCGAACAAGTCGAGCACAGCGAAGAATGGCCTGAGCCCCATTTTTCGAGCCGGATCGAGCTGTGAGGGCCCCAGAGCCCGAAACTCGGCGGTATCGCACAGCGTGCAACATTACAACGCCCGGATCTCAGGGTTTCGTGCTGGCACTATCTACAGACAGACAACGGACCGCAGCGCGAGATCCACGCGAGGCTGCTAGGTGAGATGGGACGCATGCACCAACTCTGGCCACCCGGAATCGAGCCAGGGACCACATGGCATCTGCAATCTCTCCACTCAGATGCTCTACCAATTGAGCTGTAGCCGGCGTGATGTCAGGAGCTCTGGGGCCTTCACGTGCGGCGGGGAGACCGGGGCGCCAAAGGTCCAGGCCTCGATCCTCCCCGTACTCGCGTGCCAGGGGGCTGGGCGTAGGTCAAAGAGGAGGGGGGCGAGGAGGGGGGAGAGGCATGATGATCGAGCGAGGCGAGGGTCAGCGGGATGATGGGGGAAGAAATGGATCGAGGGATGGATGGAGGGATATGGGGGGGTGGAGTAGAGGGATGGGGGGTGTCGGGGATGGATGCCAAAAAGAAGGCGAGGAAGAGAGGAAGGGGAGAGGGAAGGGAGGAGGGGCGGGAGAGGGGCGGGGAGGGTGGGTGCAGCTGGCAGCATGTGGGAGAGAGAGGGAGGAAGAGGAGCGAAGACTTGTGGGAGTCTTGGCACTTTGAAGAGCCCAAGGAAGTGCCATGAGCTCCAGGGTATTTCGCGTTGGCCCTGGCGGGTTCTGACAGCTCCCAAAAGGTTTCAGACGGCACGGGGAAGTTCCAAGGAACAGGTTGCTCTATTGAATCTTGGGAGGTGCTGGGGACTTGTATGTAGAAGATGGATGAGGGGTATGAGGAGAAGGAGGAGCAGGAGGAGGAGGAGGAGGAGGAGGAGGAGGAGGAGGAGGAGGAGCAGGAGGAAGCAGTCCCTGGATGGCGCTGGAACCTGTGAGGCCCAAGGAGGGCTAATTGACTTTTTTGAGACGAATTGGAAGACTCCGCAGGCTTGTGTGAGTGGGCGGCACGCGGGATGCCCTCCTCCTCGTCCCCTCCTCCTCCTCCTCCTCCTCCTCCTCCTCCTGCTCCTGCTCCTCCTCCTCCTCCTCCTGCTCCTCCTGCTCCTCCTGCTCGTCCTTCGTGTTGTCCTCGTCCTCCTCCTTCTGTCCTTCGTTTGTCCTCGTCATCCTCACCCTTTCGTGCTGCTGCCGCAGCGCTCCGCAACGTTTCCGCTCCAGGACCGCGCCGCACCGCGCGCGGGGACGCGAGCGCGAGAGGTGCACCCCCGGCACCCCCGGACGCCGCCGAGGATGCCCTCCGCGGGAGAGAGGGGAGAGGGGATGCAACGCAGGGGCACACCGAGACACATCACACCTACGATTACTTAGGTCGGGCATGCCCTCCTGCAAGCGGATTTCGGAAGGAAAAGAAGACAGAGTCAAACCATGCTCAAACATGGTCAAGCGTAGTAGCAACAGCGCCACCCGACTATTTTTTGGGGGGGCTATTTTTGAAGCTTCTACAGAAGGATTTTCGACGAAAAATTAAAAATACCCAGAACATGCCCCCCAAAGGCAACCCAAATACCCAACAAAATGACCCCCAGACTATTTTTGGATTATTTTTTGGCTATTTTGGTATTTTTTCGTCGACAATCCCCCCCCGTATGGGGGACAGGCCCGACGTAACTCAAGGGGGGGGGGGGGGCTCCTCGCAGGGCGGGCGGGCGCAGAGGGGAGCTCCTCCGGGGGGGGGGGGGGGGGGGGGCGCCCCCGCCTCCTCCGCATGGAGCGGCCGCCGCGGCGCACCGGGCCGGGGGACCCTCGCCTGGCCGCGGCCCGCCTCGACCACGGAGAGGAGCGGCCCCAGAGCCCGAGCCCCTGCCCTCCAGGGGGGCCCAGGGACACGCACACATACACACATACTTGTGGACACAAAAATCCCAGGATGCCCCATGGTTTCCCATGTTTCCCGGGCTTTCGTCTTCCCCCCACTGGCCACGTCTTCCGCTCTTTTCTCCCGCGGGTCAGCGATGAATTGTGCCTGTGTGTCTTTTCCCCTCGTGATTCCCTGAGCCCAGAACAGTTCTCAATTCGGCGTCTTGACTGCACCTTGCTCCTCGCGCCGCCGCCGCCGCCGCCGCCACTGCTGCCACCGCTCGCAGCCTTAGAAAACAGCTCACGGAAGCTCTTGGTCGTCCCCATGGCGCCCAGCTGCGCGCCCAGTCGGGCGCAAAGCGGACATGATGCATCTCTTCCACACTGCGCTATTGGGCGCTGTTGGAGCGCCATTCGCCGATCTACACCCAACACGAGACGAGCAGCGGAAGCTTCCGAGAGTCATCAGCCAGCACACACCTGCGTGCCGCAAGCGCTCCTCGGGGGCCGCCCGCTCCAGGTGCGGGCCGAGCGCCCGGCGGCACTCGGCCCCCGCCACGCCGCCGCCGCCGCCGCCGCCGCCGCTCCCGCTGCCGCTTCCGCCCGAAAGCCCGCCGCCGCCCGCCTCCCCTCGACGGGGGCGGGCCGCCGCCGCCGCCGCCGCCAGCCGCTCCGGGCGGGCGGCCCTGAGCCCGGCGCCAGCTGGGCGCTGCCGGGAGCCGGATGGCCGGGTCGGCCGGGGGCGGGGGCGGCGCGGGGCCCCGCGCGGCTCGGCCCGGCGGCGGCGGCGCGGCGGTGCCGTGGGCAGCGCTTTGCGGCGGCGGCGCCTCGTCGGAGAGGGGAAGGGGGGGCAGGGAGGAGGGAGGAGGGCGGGGCGATGGGGCCATTCACAGGTGTTCGAGCACCTGTGCACGCGCCTGGGCCTCGACAGCCACAGGGTTACGGAACTGAGAGCGGCACCACCGTTCCTCGGGGACCGCTCGCTTTTGCCCGAGATGCCAGCGTGGTGTGATAAGGTGATAAGGGGGAGAGGGATTGGGGGAGCGGGCCGCGTCCCTAGGGGAAAGAAAGCTGCGGTGCGGTAGAGCATGTTTCTGTGGTGCACTTTCCCATCCAACCACCAAGTCACGGTGATGATTGGTGCGCCAATGATGCAGGCACCAACGCCACGCTTCTCTACGTTCTCCTGCGCACGAAGGCCATTGTTCCTCTCCTGCACTTCACATATCATCAACTTCCGACGAGTCTGCGCCCATGGCTCTGCAGTGGCAGGGCGCGTAGGTCCTGTGCGGCAGGGTCGAAGCTCCAGACATGTTGGCATGGGAATGCCAGCCTTCTGCGTGTGATCCCTACTCCGCGAACGCTGCCTGCACCAGCAAGTTTCTGCACGGATGCTACAACAACCCACCTGCGCTTCCAGATTCCGCCCGAAGCGATCCCGTGGGGGTTCCCCGTGCGCCCGCCTGGGGCTTCGGGGTTCTGCGGCGGGTGCCCGCCCGTGGGCGCCTCGCGGACGGCCAGTACGCTGGCCTGCGCTTCGTCTCTTCTTGGTCTCTTCCTCTTGCGACACCGACTTTCATCCGCACCTCGCTCGCTTGTTTTATTTTTCTCCATTGCAGTTGCGAGGGCTACTGCAAGCCTCTTCACCCATAAACCGACACGCTGTTCAACATCTGAGCGCTCGATAATTCGGGCACGTGTCGCACGAACGCGTTCGCCAACGCTGTGAAGGTATAGCTGGACTTCGGGCGGCCCTGCGCCTGGGCCAGATATGTCATGCCAGCATTGAAGTCGCGCCGACCACGCGAGCACCGAAAGCAATAGCCATAAGTAGAATTTGGACGAGTCTGGCAGGGGGCGGTCTGACTAGGGCCTCGTGGGAAAATGAAAACTGGGATTTAAAGGGGAGGCAGGGGGGCTGGATAACTATACATATATATATATATATATATATATAACTATATATATTTGCGCTTACTACGCACAGAAAGGGAGAGAGAGAGTCATATATATATATATATACACATACATACATATATAGAGACAAAGGAAAGAGACAGAGAGAGAGAGAGAGAGAAAGAGAGAGAGAGAGAGAGAGAAATAACGAGAGAGAGGGAGAGAGAGAGAGACAGTGAAAACAACCAAACAGGGAAAACGAGACAGAAAGAGAGAGAGAGGGATACATAAGTATATGGTAAAAGACGAAACAGAAAGAGAGAGAGAGAGAGAGAGAGAGAGAAAGAGAGAGCGAGTGAGAGAGAAAGAGAAACGCACTTTAATGAGTCCGCCGCACCCTTCGCAACATATTGCATGAGGAATCACCGCTGGCCTCCAAATTCTCAGAATTGACATTGTGGTTCTACTGCGCCTCTGCTGGATTCATACTGTGTTTTTTTCCCTGGTGGAGGATGAGGGCGGGGGAGGGCTTATTGCTGTTGCGCGCGTGTTGTCTCCCAGTGCGGGGAGGAGGAAGGAGGGGGGAGGAGAATCCTCTATGCTTTGGGAAGCCAAGGCGGTGTCGTCCGCGTGCGCGCGCAGCGTATTATCCGGCACCCTGCGCGCGATCTGGCGCAACGAGATGTCAGCCGCCACCGCGAAGAGAAGCGGGGACGGCGGGCAGCTTCGGCGAACTCCTCGGGCGATCGCGACGCCTTGCCGCCGAGACCCGTCCATGGCCAGCTCGCAGGTCTTGCGGGCGTACAATGCCCGGGTGAAGCAGAGCTCCCGCTCGGGCTGGGAGAGGTGGTGGAAGACCTGCAGCATGAACTCGTGTTCGATCGAAGGGAAGGCCGATGCGAAGTCGAAGGGGCTCGAGGTCCTGTCGTCCTGTCGTCTGAGAGGCATGTCGCCGTAGCCATAGATCCAGGAAGTTTGCGAGCATAGACCTTCTACTCAAACAGCTGCGTTGCAGATCGAGGATGTGCTGCGAGACCGCTGGTTCGATGGCAAGCCGTGTAGTGTCGCCAGACGGACGGACGGACTGAGGAGCAACATTTGTCTTGACTTCGCCCTAGCAGCGGCGGGTTCATTCCTCTCGCGCGCCCACGCAACTTCGCCTCGCCCGCACGCACGACACGAACGAAACGAAACGATTTCCCGCTTGGGGGTCTCCGTTCCGCTGCGATCTCACCCCCCAACCTCCGATCAGCTTGTTGCTCTGTTGTCTGGAGCGGAGGGCGATCGCTGGCTGTCTGGGTCATCCAGGTCTTCGCGCGAATGGCGACATTTCTCGAAGGCATGGTCACGAACCAAGCCAACCGCGTAGTCCTGGAACCGTGCAATAGCTCTCGTGCGGTTGTCATGGAATCGGCGGTGGACAAACCTCCCTTTAGTAAACCTCCCCTGAATGAAAACGGCCTGTGGCCGAAACCGACGGACCTGGACCCGCAACAATGACGACCGCGACGCCCTCTCGCGAACCGAAAACGGCCAATTCACTAATCGACGTGTCAGGGCAGGAGGTCTATCAACCTCCGATGGAATTCGTAGGGGTTATTGACGAGGTCGTCGAGCTCCAGCGAGCACAGTAAACAAGAAGACGCAGCGGTGGGACGCGCACCCTCGATGGACCGAATGACGCGCAGCGCGACCCCGAACTTGTCCTTCTGGTCGACGGCGGGAAGTGGAGACCTGCGGTCACAATGCAGGCGGTCGGTGACCGCCCGCGCACATTCTCTGTAGAGGCGATCCCCTTGGCCAGCGGGTTCGTCTCGGCACTGGCCCCTGCAGCCCGTGGTGGAAATCCAGCGTCTGGCGCCTCGGAGAATCTTTGTGCACGAGGGCTCCGTTTGGAAGGCGGCGGGTCCACGTCGCCTGGGGCGACCGGCGGAGCGCAGCGAAGCCAGTGCGGCGACGTGGTGTGACGGGTCGCGTCGCCCCCGTAGAGGCCGGCACCTGGAGCCTCGGGTCAAGCTGCTCGCGCGCGTGGAAGTTGGATTACGAGCGGTCCAAGCGGGAACGGGCGGAGGCCGAGGCGTGGAGGAAGTCCTCCTGCGAAGACTCGAATAAGCTGGATCGCCTCATTCGAGCCTGATTTTCTTCGCCCTCGTCGGGTCCTGCCAGAATTGCATGCCGTTGTGAGCGACGCCTCTCTGTCCTCAGCGACGTAGTTGAAGTCCACCCCAAGCAAAGTGAGCATTTCCCTGCGATCAGCGATGTCCTCAGCAAGGCGCTGCCGAAGGACGGCCTGAAGAGCAAGGCAAATTGACGCGTGGGTACGGGGATTCGCGGCAGCCGATCAAGTCGGACTCGCCTGGGTTGTCGTTGGAGCCAGAGTGGAAGTATGCCGCGATGAAGTCTAAGGCGCCGCTGGGACCTCGAAGGCGAAGTTTGGCCGCGCGACCCCTCCAGATGTGGACAGACCTAGGGCTCGTGCCGAACCGGGCGAGGAAAGAGAAGCCCCGACCACGATACCGGCCCGCGCCACTCCCTCGGAGAGGCCCTGCGACCACCAGATGAGTGCACCCCTGCGGCGGACGCCAAGCCTGACTGGCAGCCTCCGTGCCGTGCGCTTCGGAGATGAGGAGGATGTCCGTCTTTTCCACTCGCGGGGAGACGCGCTCCGCCTCGGCGGCGCACCCCCGCCGGGCCGAGGCGATGGGCGCCTGGGAGCTCCAACTGCCCTCGGCGCCGAACCCGGCCTGGGCGCCTCGCGCGCCCAGCAGCAAATCTGCGGGGGGGGGCCGAGAGCGCGTCGCCAACGACGGCGAGGCTGGGGCTGAGCGGGCACGCCGTCAAGCTCACGCTCGCGGCCCCGGAGAGGCGGAAGAAGATCATCATCCAGCGGCAGCGGAGGGACGACCGGGAGAAGGCGGTCGTCGGTGAGAGGATGGAGACCAAGGGCGTGCAGCCGAGCAGGACCGGGGACGACAGGGGACGTGGACGGAGCGGTTGTGGTGCGGCTCGTCGTCCGCACCCTCCATGCGGCCCGAGCCCACCGGCGCCGGAGACTTGGCGTGGGCACGAGAAGCGAAGTCGACGGCAAAGACGAGGTCGCCAACCGCGGTCGTGCAGCGAACTCCTTGACGGCAGCCGAAGGCTGCTGGGCACCTGTCGGGGCCGAGGGCGCAGGCGGTGCCGCCTACTGCGCCCGCGGGTCTTCCCCCGCCCTGGCCTGTGTGTTGATCAGGTCGTCGTGTTGGTACGATTTCGCAATATGCGCGCGCATGTGGACTTAGTGTTTTTTTTGGGGCGGGGTCTGTTGTGAAAGTTTCTTGACACATGATCTTTTGCGACGCACGCGTGTGCGCGCATGGTAGCATTTGACAAGGATGAGGGGGTGCCATGCTGCTTGGCTTGGGATGTTTTGAATTCGTATCGAAAACGACGAGGCATAATCATATCTAATGTGTAATGTCCCTGGGAAGGGCGGTGGACCATGTCTTCGAAAGGGAATCTACGTGGTGCAAGCTACGTGGTGGAAATAATCTTTGACCGTCTTGAAGCTGTCCTCTCCACTGCTCGTGCAAACATCCCACCCTCCCACCCGCAACTTGGTCGCCAGACCTCTTAAGACAAGACCGTGACGGTACGTACCACATGACACGTGGCCACGACACCGACGCCGACGACGACAGCGACAACGACGACGACGGCGCCGCCGACACCGACTACGACGACACCGACGACGTCTCCAACGACTTCGACGACGACAACGACGACACCGACGACGACGACGACGACGTCAACGACGCCGACGACGACGACGACGACGACGCGACTACGACGACACCGACGACGTCTCCGACGACTTCGACGACGACAACGACGCCGACGCCGACGACGACGACGACGACGACGACGTCGCCAACGAAGACGACGACGAGGGAGGAGGAAGGACGACGACGGCGACAACGACGACAACGACGACAGCGACGAGGGAGGAGGGAGGACGGCGACGACGCGAACGACGAAGAAGGAGGAAGGACGGCGGCGCCGACGACGACAACGACGAGGGAGGAGGGAAGACGACGACGACAACGGCGACGACGACGACGGCGACGAAATAGGAGGGACGACGACGAGACGCCGACGACGGACGGCGACGACGACGAGGGAGGAGGAGGAAGGACGACCACGGCAACAACGACGACGGAAACGACCACGACGCTAAAGAGGATGACGACGACGAACACGAAAGACAGAGGACGACGTAGGCGACGACGACGACGACGACGCGGGAGGAGGGAGGAGGACGACGACGACGACGCAAGAGCGCGCGCGCACGCTTTTGTTGAAAATCCGTGTTGCGAAACCTGGTGTTTTTGTAAGTTTTTTGGACACACGATTTTGAAATCCTTCCGAAACCGATGGGTTTTGAAGGTTTTCGACATACGCGCGCGACGACGCGCGCGCCTGCACTTCGTCCCATTTTTTGCAAAGGATTCTCGCGACGGCACACGCGCAAGGGCGTTCGACAGATTTCGACATGCGCGCGCGCGAAGCCCGTTTAATAGCATTTTATGAAAATCTTGAAAAACCCATGGTTCTCTTAAGATTTCGCAAGAGCTCGCGCGGAAGCTTTTTTAGCAAATCAATGCTGCGAAACCCTGTGTTTTTGTATGTTTTTTGGAAACTCGATTGCGAAATCCTTCCGGCACCGAAGGTTTTTGAAGGATTTCGGCATGCGCGCGCGACGACGCGCGCGTGTGCACTTCGTCCCATTTTTTGCAAGGGTTTCGGGAAAAAGTGTTGGAACCAAAAATGTCACCGCATAGTGTTTTTCTACAAGGGACCCTCATGGGGGGCGAACCCGGCCCCCCTGGGACAGTGTAAATTCATATTCAGGATGGACACGTGGTCAGAATCATATATGATTTACATACGGGAGTGATAACGCCGGGGGGGGGGGTAGATCCTATTCTGTTCTGAGAAAGGGGAATCCATCGGGGCGCCCACGAGGCGCCCACGGGCGGGCACCAGGCGAGACCTCGGCATGCCCCTTCAGCGCGGGGCGCGCCCACAGGCGGGCACAATGCGAAACCTCGGCGTACACCCCTCGCGCGGGGCGTCCACGAGGCACCCACGGGTGGGCACCGGGCGACACCTCGGCATACCACCCGATCGCAGGGCGCCCACGAAGGCGCCCACGGGTGGGCACCAGGCGAAACCTCGGCACACTCCCCCAGCGTGGAGGCCCCCCTCCCTGGCGCGCGAAGGCGCCGCCAGGGGGGCCCAGCGCAGATCCAAGAAAACCTGCGCGGGTCTCCCAAAAATGTATGTTTATGCCTTCTTTGGGACGAGAGCCCTGGCCCTCATGATCGTCATCATCACCAGCAGCATCACCACCATCAGCATCACCACCATCATTATTACCTTCATGACCACCACCACCATCATTGCTATCATCATCGTCACAACCACCATCAGCATCATCACCACCACAATCATCATCATCAGCAGCAGCACCAACATCATCACCACCACCACGACCATCGTCATCACCACCACCATCATCATCATCATCACCATCATCATCATCATCATCATCATCATCATCATCATCATTACCATCACCATCATCAACATCAACATCATCATCATCACCATCATCACCACCATCATCACTTCCATCACTTCCATCATCACCACCATCATCACCATCATCACCATCATCGTCAGCACCACCATAACCATCATCAACAACATCACCATCACCATTACCACGACCACCACCATCACCATCACCATCACCATCGCCATCCACATCATCAATCATAATCATCGCCCGCGAGCTCCTCGTGGACGGTGTCGACGGGGTCGGGGTCGCCCGGCAGCCACCCGCCGTGGCAGTCCAAGGGGTCCTGCGGCTGCACCGATCTCAGGGGCGCTGGCGGCTCCGCTTGGCAGATGGGCTGCGCCGGCTGCGCGGGCCTGGGGGGAGGGGGCCTAAGGCCGTCAGGGCGGCTCGAAAACTTCGGTCAGGGGAGGACCGCTGGCTGCCGCACGTGCTCTGTAATTAGAGATCTGTAGATGTTTTCTCGGTTTCCACATCGCGGTCGTTAGACGGGGGGTGGAGGGGGGGTTGGGCCCCAAGTAACGGAGACGCTTGGGCGGGGTGGGGCACGTCGGGGCGGTGGTGCACTGCGATTGCAACAGCATGCGCATGAGCACCAACATGTGGAGGGGATCCAGCCCCCCCTCCTCCTAACTACGATCGCTCCTGTTACCTAGAGGGGGTTGGGGCGGTTTTCCTGGGCAACGACCGTTGCGCGCTAAATGATAAAACACATTCTCCCGCGTGCTATGACAACGGCTGGCTCGTAGCGATCCCAAGGACTAACGCCGTGACAAAACCTGGCTGATGCCGCTGCGGCTCAGCGGTGTGGGCGAAGGCATGATACGGTGATGAAGAGGAAGGGAGGAAGGGAGGGAGGGAGGAGGTAGGGACCGACCGATCCATTTTTGTTTTTTGTTTAACAAAGCAGGGTCCAAGGAAGTCTCGAACCCTCCCCCAAGGGCGGTTCTTCATCCCTGGCTGGTTTCTGATGGTCCTGGGCCCCGTGAGGGCCCCCAGGGGCCCCAAATCCCCAGAAACCTCTCGCAGTGAGTTTCTCGCGACGCGATTGGTCTGGGCCCACAGGAAGATGTCTCGGCGCGTGTGCGGCACTCTGGGGCCCAAGGGTAGGAACAAGCAAAGGCGACACCAACACCACCAGGGCGAGGAGATGCGAGGAGGCAAAGGGGGCCTCCCAAGTGGTGTGGTCCCCCCCTGTCGCTCGAGACATCCCCAACATCCAGCTCGGGGAGGCACCGTGAAATCGGCCCGAGACTCTCGCCAAATCTTTCAATATCTTTCCCTACCTAGGCTCTGCCTAGAAGGGTTCTTATTCTCTGGGCTTAAAAGGGGCCGGGCAGTGGAAAGCGCCCCGGGCGGTTCCCCCAGTATCCGCCCCGCGGTTCCCCCAGTTACGTCCCCTTAGCTCAGCGTTGCTTATCTCATCTTAGCTTAGTCTAGCTTAACTTAGCTTAACTTAGCTGAGCTTATTTCATATTAGCTTAGCTTCATCTTAGCTCAGGTTTATCGTAGCTTAGCCTAGCTTAGCTTAGCTTAGCTTAGCCTAGCCTAGCCTAGCTTAGCTTAGCTTAGCTCAGCTTAGCGCAGCATTCGCATAGCATAGCATAGCATAGCATAGCATAGCGCAGCATAGCATAGCGCAGCATAGCATAGCGTAGCATAGCATAACAAAACATAGCATAGTGCAGCATATCATAGCATAGCTTAGCATAACACAGCGCAGCATAGCATAGCATAACGCAGCATAGCATAGCATAGCATAGCATAGCATAGCGCAGCATAGCATAGCACAGCATAGCATAGCGCAGCATAGCATAGCATAGCGCAGCATAGCATATCATAGCATAGCCTAGCATAGCATAGCGCAACATAGCATAGCACAGGCAATGCAGGCCGGATCCGGAGCATTCTTAAACACACCCGGTGAGCGAATGCAACAACATGCGTGTGTCTGCGTGTGCGTGCGAAGGCAAAGCAAAAGCAAAACCAAGCAAACGCACAAACAAAAGCAAAGCAAAAGCAACAGCAGCAGCAAAAGCAAAGGCCAAGGCAAAAGCAAAGGCAAGAGCATTAGCAAAGGCAATGCAAAGCAAGAGCAACACCAATGCGAAAGTGTAGATGTAGATTTAGATGTAGGTGTAGATGTGGATGTAGGTGTAGATGTAGATGTACATGTAGGTGTAGATGTAGATGTGAGTGTTGTTGTAGATGTAGATGTAGATGTAGACGTAGATGTAGATGCATGTGTACATGTAGATGTAGCTGTAGGTGTAGATATGGACGTAGGTCTAGATGTAGATGTAGGTATTAAGCTGTACGATTACTACTACTACTACTACTACTACTACTACTACTACTAATGCTACTGCTACTGCTACTGCTACTGCTACTGCTACTGCTACTACTGCTACTACTACTACTGCTACGACGACTACTACGACTACTACGACTACGACTACTACTACTACTACTACTACTACTACTACTACTACTACTACTACTACTACTACTACTACCGCTACTGCTACAACTGCGACGATGAGGAGAAGGAGGAGGACGGCGTTTACGTTACTACTAATATTGCTCTCCTCGGGGCTCCAACTCCTAGGTAGGGTCGCTCTGGGATAATCTTTCAATATCTTCTAGGACCCTTTCAGTGCACGCGCCGATTGGGGAATCTAGAAGAACGCAAATCGTGGGCAATGGCTCTGCCCCAGAGTGCCGACGTGTCGCCCGAGGCGCACTTTTTGGTGCACGCCAGCGGAGGCACTCGCGAAGGCAAGTGCCCAGTCGCAGCACGGTGCATCGAAGCCTTGCGTGCGTGTGGGGGGCCTCACACACGTTTTGCACCCCAGTCTTGATTGCCGAAACTTTTGTTGTAGACCCAGCAGATCATATAATTAAACACAACAAATGCGTCCATGCTCTGGACCACTTGCTGGTATTTCGCGCGCAGCCGTTGCAGTAGCGACCTAGTGGCTGGGAGGAAGTAGTGGCTGGGAGGACGGGGGGGAGAGATGGAGTGAATAGGATGATGGCGACGAAATTCATGACCGAATAAACCCAAGATGCATCAACGATGCTGCATTAAACCTTCCGGTCACAAGTCCCCTCCTTCTGAATCATTGCAAGCCTTCATTTCCCCCACACGAAACGCTGCCTTGAAATACCAACAACCGATGTGCCTGCTATCCAGGCGATAGCGCCGATATGAAAAGGATCTGCATTGTGTCCCTCTAGCGAACCATAAGGAATACGGGAAGCTATGGCCTTCCAGTTTAAACGATGCGTCCAAGGAGAGCCCCGTTTGCAACGCATCCGTCCTCGCATGCGCGCAACCAATGCATTCGCCTGAAACTCTGGTTGCTAGACTTGGGAACATATGACACGACAACCCCAATTTAAAATGGAACCGTAATTCATTCGTGAAATTCATGCAGTTCTCAAGCGTGGGCCACGTCTTGAACATAAACCGCCATGCATCCTTCTATTTGTCACACCGTTTAGACCGACTGTGCACAATGCAAAGGCGAGGCCCACACTTGAAAAGCAACCGCCTTCCAAAGGCTTTTACAACAGATGTATGTGGCATTTGTACGAGAGCCCTATTATGAAAAAGAGCCGCCCTCCATGCTTCTAGCAACTGTGAGGTTCTAAAACGAACGTGCGCCGCACTAAGGCGAGAGCCCCCACTTCGAACACTGAACCAACCTCCATCCCGGGAGTTGCTGCAAAGTTTTAACAACGACTGTGCGCGGCTTTGAAGCGAGACCCACGTTGTGGACTCCACATCCATCCTGGTAATAGTTGTAGGAATGTTGAATGTATGCGCGCGGCGCAAAAGCGAAAACTCCATTTTGAAGCCGTCCCTCTCCAGCCGTGTAGCTAAGGCAAATGACAAGCTTCAAGGTCATGTGAGGTGTGAGGTGAAGACGTCTGAAGTAAAATGCCGGGCCCCCCGCCGATGCGTCTGGGGGTGCGGCATGGGGGGGGGGGGAGAGTTATCTATAAGGAAAAGAGACGGAGGAGGAGGAAGGATAAGGAAACAGTGGCAGGGACTGCGGAGGAGGAGGAGGAGGACCTGGGATCATCTGAAAGGGCACCACGTGTGCATCAACCATTTCCACCGCCAGGACTGGCGCACGGCCCCGTCCCTTCCTCGCCCTCACGACGGACGCCAGCGACACCAACTGCCAGGGCAAAACAGCCACGAGGAGGAGGATTTTTTTCACGCTCCACTGCCGCTAGACCCCCCCTTCAGGGGACCTTCTGCTTCACCTCCCTACTGTACAGTCCAGGGAGACGGGAGGAATCTGACATTCTTCTCCCTCTTGATCTGCTGTGGGTGCCTGCCTGACGAGAACTATTTCCAAGCAGTGCGGCCTGCCCCCGTCTTTGTCGGGGCACAGGGAGCACCCAACTTCATCGCGCGGCCCCCTGTGCTGTAAAAACCGCATCTACGACAGATACAGTGGAAGGAGCCATCCGAGCAGTCCACGGCCGCGCATTGGTGGCCGTTCTGCTCGATAAGACTGGGGCCGAACTTCGGTGGGACAACTCATCGGCCAGGAGGAGGGCAAACCGCAACTCGCCTTCCTCGCAAGCATGCCATGCACTGCCAAAAATCTCCTGTCCAGGCCCACACGTGGGCCTCAAACTCCGAGGATCTCTCGTCTCTCGGAGGCCTGATGAATTCTGCTTGCGAAACGTCGAGGCGAGGCCACTTCGGTAGCAGCTTCGCCGCAAGTAAAATGACATATCTGGCTACCTTGACAGCGCGATCGATGCTCTACAAGACCTCAGGCTCCGCCTGAGGGTGAAGGTACGCTCCTCTCTTGGCCGCTGTGTCCAGCTGGTTGCCAATTCTGCGCCGTCGCTCTAGCGCAGAGATGCCTTCTTCGTCCAGATCTTTGTGCGCCGAAACTTTGACCGGGCCTTGTAGATGAGGCCCCGCGCCCGAGGTGGCTTCGAGCACCGAGCCAGTGCAGGCCCTCTGACCCCCGAGGCGGTCCAAAGGAACCCGAGAAACCACGGAAACAACAGAGGCACAACCGGAGTATAGCACGGACTGCCCGTGTAGGTTGACACCTGCGGCAGCCAGGCTAAAGACGCTTGTGGCGTATGACGCAAATCGGCCCACGCAGGCCCGTACGCGCGGGACGACATGTGGCCTTGGTCAGATAACATCACAAACGCCCAACCAACCCTGGAGAGCTTACGAATTTTGGAATAAAAGCAACTGCCGTCTAAAATCCAATTTCCTTGGTACTTAACAGACTCGGGCCCAGGATACTCCAAACCAGAATCCAGGAATCCATGTTGGAAGTGTTTCACAGTCGCGCCAGCCATC